GACCACATTTTTGGCTATTAAAACTGAACACATTTAATTATACTACAATAAAGTCATTTTTACCTGGGGTGACCGGTAAAGGTCGTCCACCTTTTGCTTGAGCCAGAAGAATTGTTCCTTGAGGGGCATCTGTGCTAGCTATAGCAGAAGCTGCAATTTGTTGAGCAACTGTGCTGTGTGTTGAGTGGCTCTCAAAATGAGTGGCTCTTTGTTTTGATGTATTGAGAATAGCCCTTTCCCGTAATTTTAACACCAATAATAACAAAAAATCATTTTATGTAAGAAATACAGATATGCAAAGTTTTTATGACTTTTTGCAAAGTCATAAAAACAAAAAAACAATGTTTTAGTCATGTAATAATAAAATTATCATTCACTTAAATTTTTTTTGAATACTGTAAAAATGCAAAAAGTAGTTATGCTGTCATTTGTCTAGAGTGATATGATTGTACTAAAGTATATTCATTTAAAACATTTCTTGCTTTGTACAAAATTCCTATACTTTTTGAAATTTTACTTGAAAAGTTTTTAATATGATTTTTCCATGTAAGATTTTCATCTATACCAACACCTAGAAAGTTGGTTACTGTTACTTTTTTAACTTTTACATTGTCAATAACAAGTTGAGGCATGTTTATTGGCAGTTTATGTTTTTTTATTAAAAGGAAGGAAAAGAATCCACTTAGTTTTATCAATGTTAAAAGATAATTTGTTAGTCTAAAACTAGTCAGATATTTTGATTAACTCATTTTCACGTAATAAAATAGAGTAGAAATGCTTTTGTGTGACATAAATAAATTGTCATAAAAATAAATTGTCATAAAGTGTCATCAGCAAACATAATTGTTATTAAATCTGAGGCTTCGTATAGATCATTAATATAAATAAGGAAAAAAAGAGACATTTAACAAACTTGGTGAAAATATTTCATCAGCGTAAACAAATTGTATACAATTAGTTAAATAACTTTTCAACCATTTTAAAACATTGTCTGTTATACCATAATATTTTAATTTTTCAACAAGAATTTTATGATCAATGGTATCCAACGTTTTCCCTAAATCAATAAATATTCCCAATGTGAATTTAGAATAGTTAAATGAGTCTGATATACTTCTAGTAAGCTGAATAAAAACATACTCTATTGAATTATTTTTTTTAAATCCATATTGCATGTTATATAATAATTTGTTTGATAAAAGGGGATTGTATATTCTGTTGTACAAGATTCTTTCTAAAATTTTAGAAAAGACAGAGAGGATGGAAATTGGACGATAGTGTTTTACATTAGTTTTTTCTCCTTCTTTAAATATAGGAATAATTCTTGCTATTTTGAAATCATCAGGAAAAACTCCTTGATTAATAGAGTATTTAAACATTTGGAAAAGTATGTCTTTTAAAATGCCAAAGCAGCTAATAATAACATTGACATCATCTGGACCAACTGTTTTATTTGAATTTAACAATTTAAAAGCACTTTCAAACTTTAAAAGACAAATCAAAAAAATTTAGATACGAGCTTAGAGGGTGATATGTTACCTTTATTAATTTTTTAGGGTTTGGAATTTTTTCGGCTAGGTTTGGTCCTACAGATACAAAATATTTACTAAATTCGGAAGCAATTATTTTTTTTATCAAGAAAAAGATTATCACCTACTTTAATAACTGAGGGCAAAGATTGCGACATTTTTTTAGTGTTAACAGTAATTTCGTTTATTAGTTGTCAAGTGCGTTTTAAGTTTAATTTGTACTTTTTAATAAATCAGTGTAGTATATTTTTTTTAATTTTTCCTTAGACGTTTAAATAATCTTACGTAGTTTTTATAAATGGTCTTACTCTCAGTTGTTTTTGATTTTAAATATTGAATATAAAGTTTTTGTTTAATTTTAGAAGATTTTAGAATACCCTTAGTAATCCATGGCGATTTAATTTTTTTATGTTTTTAATTTACTTCTACTTTGGGAAAGTTGATGTCATAAATTTAATACAAAATTTCAAAAAAAAATTTGTATATTAAATGAATGTCTTCAAAAAAGTTAATAATGTTCCAATTAACTAAAGATAGTTGATATTTTTGCAGGGATTTACATTTTGTTTAGAAAAAGCATGATATTTTATGTATTTATTTACTCCGTCAAAGCCAACTTTAAAATTTTTTTTGGGAAATACAAAAGTTAATGATTTTAAAAATTTGTCATGGAAACCACATATAAAATATATAGAAAATAAAATATCAAAAAATATTTACATATTATATAAAACTAAATTATATCTTAACACCTTTTCTTCATAGTTTTATCTCTTACTGCAATATTGTATGAGGTAGTACTATGGTAAGTTAAAAAAGCTTCATAGTAAGCAAAAACATGCATGCAGGATTATATTTGGTGCCCACAGAACTTTTCAATGTGAACCTCTTTTAAGGAAGCTCGGTGCCCTAAGTGTCTATAAACTTAATATACACCAAGTTCTACAATTCATGTTTAAAACTAAACATGAACTCTCTTCTATTGTATTTCAGTCTTACTTTAGTGAAATCTCGCACAAGTATCCTACTAAATTTTCAATTAATAACTTTATTGTTCCAAAAACTAATTCAAAAACTAAATTCTTACAAAATCCAATACCGCGGACCGTTTCTATGGAAACATTTTTCAAAATTTATCACAAAAAATAATGTTCATCACATCTCTTTGAAAAAATTTTGAAAAGAATCTAAGAATCTCTTATTACAAAAAGACTTTTAAAATATCTCTTTTAAAAATAATACACAAATAATATAAATTATCTAAAAAAATAGTTATTGACACTACTTCTCTTTTGTTGCAATTTTAATCTAATTTAATTTTTTGTTGAAAAATTTTAATACTTTTAAATTATTGTTAATCTTTGATATAATGCGTTATATTTCAACACTAATATTTATATTATGTTATTAGTTATATTGTAACTAACGTATTTAAAGTTGTTGTTATGTACTTAGCTACTCTTCATTTTTTATATTAACAGACAATTTTTTAGTGTAAATTTTGACCCAAAAACGCCACTTATACGTTGTGAGTGCTAACATATCAAGGAACCCTGTGAAGCAGATTTTAAAACCTTTTATTTTCAAAAAATTAATTTGACAAAAACGTTCAAAGTAAAGTTTCAACTTAGCTATATAATTTTTTTTTGTTCTTTATTACAATCTTGATGATACAGATAAAAATAATATGAAAAAAGCAAAAAGTTAAAAGCTAAGTCAAGATATCGTTAAGAATAAAGTATAAAAATAAATATAAAGAACGCGGATACTCAAAGAAGACCATCTAGTCTTGTTGCAGAGAAACCGCTATTGAAGAAATTATAACTTCTTTTTTTTAATGGTTTTTCATTTTGTTATGGTGTTTGTTATGGTATTTGTTATAACCCTGTTATGGTGTTTACGGCTTGCATCAATCAAATTATTGTCTTCCGAAGAGCTGACTCATGCGAATAACAATGTTCATAATTTTCTAGATAAATCTCTTGCGCACACTGAATCTAATTTGTCGTAAATAATCACTGAATCTTATTAATCGCTATATATTATTCACTATTATCACTGTATATAATCAACGTAATCACATTTTCAGACTGAATATAGTACATTTCCAGATTGTTCAAAAGGTTGTGCAAGAGGACCTAGATAAATGGTTATCCCTGTGTGTTTAGCCTTCACTTCACAGCGCGCAAATAAAAGCACCCTTTATAATTTGATAAAAATTTCTGCCAATCTAGCCAAAGACCACACCAAAACTTGGATAAATTTTCAGATAGATCGGCTCACTGATTCATGAGAGTTTTAGCTTAATTTTGGTAGATTTTAGCTACCTTATACCTCAAACCGTTTCTAATTACTGTGATACTTGGTCACTAATTTCAAAATAAGGGTAAAGTGTTTTTACGGGAACCGAAAAGAGAAGGAAAAAACAATCACGCGAGCATGCGTAAAATAAATTTTAATTTATTCTACGCACGATAGAAATGTTGGTTTGTTATTTAAAGCGTGGCTTGGCTTTTCCATGGCGTAAAAATCTCATCAATTCCTAAGATAAATACTACTGTCAAAATCATAAATAAGAAAAAGTACAAAACCTGGTCAAAACCAGTTGGAAAAAAAAAGTTTTGTCTCTACTAATAATCTTTTTATTGACTCGCCAAACCTGTTTTAATGAACTTATTTTCAAAATTAAATGAAAAAACAACTACTTAAAACCTATTTTTTACACCATCAAAGAATCAGATGAAACCTCTGATTACATTTTAAGACATCTCAACCATTTTTGAGTATAGTATTGCATTTTGACAGTAGTCAACCTTTAGAAAGTTTTATTACACAGTAGAACACCCATAAGAGTAATTGGAAACGTTTCGAAGTATAAGTAGCAAAATGCTAGTAAAATTTAGACTAAAGTTGCCATAAATGTTTAACCAGTAAACTAAGCTATTTGAAATAATATCCAGAGTTATGTGTGGTCATAGGCTACATTTGCAGCAACTTTTAACAAATTTTTATCATAATATATATTTATTTAATTCTACAGGTGTTTTTATTTGCGCACTATGAGGATGAAATTTCACTCGGTTTAAAAGTTCAAATTAAATTCTTTTTCGCGGAAAAGATTAAAATATTTCAAAATCTGCATCACAGGGTACCTTGATGTGTAACCAATCACCTCATATAAGTGGCGTTCTTGGTTCAACTAGGTTGGCATTTTCGGGATCAATGATAAACGCAATGTGCTATTCGTAATTGCGTAGGTGTGAGTGTTAATAAGGCCTACTTTTATCCATAAAACAGATATTTAAAACGTAATTCAAATGAAAAAGTTTTAGCCACTTTCGTAACATTTTATACGAGCGACGCTTTACTTAACAACAATGTGATATTTGCTTTTAGTTCCAACAACTTTCTAGAGCTCAGAAAATTAAGATTTATTAATATCTAATTGCTGTTTTTTAAATTAATTTGGAATTAGTAAGAGTTAATACAATTATAATTGATTCAATTCTTTTAATTAATATGAAGATGAAAATTTAGCTCATTAAAATTTAATAAGGTAAAATATATTTGAAAAAATTGTTCATCGAAGCGTTATCGCTTTTGTCACTCATGTGAGGCATTTTAAACAAGGAAACCAAAATGGCGCTTGTTAACCCGGAAACAAAAATGGCACTTGTTAACGCGGAAAAAACGATCGAAAACACACAAAATCCTTCAAGTCAAATAAATAACGAAAGCAAAGAACTGCTACAGGAATTAAAGAACAGAACAAAAGCATTAATGATTAACTCAAAAAACAAAATAAAAGCATCGCTGGGACGTAATATTCACCTCGTAAAAGAAAAGATAGAAAAACTAAAACAAAAGAATACCAAACCCAATGAGGCAAGTTCTCCTAAGGTTTTTATTACCTCTTCGTCTCTTGATTTTACGAGATATAAAAACGATGATTCAAAGCCACAAGCTTTTCCAATGATAGGAGCATGCATTGTATTGTTACCCTATGCACTTAGCGGAACAGGTGTTTTTTTAGGTGTTATTTTAATTTTATCAATTCTAATAATGGCATCATTTTCTGAATTACTCCTTATTCAATGCAGTTTGCTTGCAGATGAAATATGCTTACCTAAAATTGGTCGAAATATACAGGGAACATGCGGTTGCATTACACTTTTTTTAATTTCCTTATTTTACTCAATGAGTGTTATTCTCGTATATAATGTCATAATTGGGGATATACTGACTAAAATCTTACTAAAAGTTATGCAAGAAAATAATATTGGCATAATAAGCGCAAAGAATGTAACAATTCTAGTTATGGTTTTGATTGTCGCACCTTTATCACTAGTGTGCAATATTAAGCGTATTACAAAACTTTCTCTTGTCTCCATAGCCACATCAACTTGTCTAATCATACTTCTGTCAATAAAACTTTTTACAACAAAGGATCACATTTTGCAAACAATTTCTTTTAATTCAATGCAAAATATAAATGTACTTCAATCGATTGCTATTATCACATACGTAATACTATGTCAACATTCTGTTCGCTTAAATTATGTCACAATAAGCAAGGAAAAAAAAACATGCAGTAACCAACCAGCAAATATGGCGTATTCTTATAGTTTATTATGCACTTTAGTTGGTACTATATGCGGCTATCTTACTTTTACGAAAACTACTCAACCCAACGTGCTACTAAACTTGTGCGACGAAGACGTATTTGCTACAATTACATACACTTGTTTTGGTTGTGGTGTGTTATGCTTATATCCACTTGAGTGTCAAAATATTAGATACTTAATTCAACAAGCAGTCGTAGTGAGCAAAAAATTCCGAAACTTTTTTAATTTAACAATTACGTTTGCAGTATTGCTTCCAACGCTTATCTTGGCGCAATTTGTTGACTGTGTTTCAAGCGTAGTAGAACTTTCAGGGTTTTTTCTTGCCGTACCACTTATTTTTATTTTACCAACTGTTCTTTTTATTAGACTTTCCTCTGCTCCCCTATGGTCAACTAAGAAGCTGCCATGTTTACTGAGTATTGCTATAGGAATAACAATAACAATAACAGGATCAGGTGTCGAAATTATGCAAGTAAGAAAGTGTATTCGCGAATCCAAAATGTTTCCTTATTGCAATGGAAGTACGGAACTACTTGGGCCACTTATAACTCTTTCAGCATTAAATGGAACAATCGAAACTCAGATCAACAACACTTTATTTATGGAAGCAAATTTGTAGCTAATATCCTTTTTTAATACATTAATCACATGTTCACAAAATTCTGAAAACCTAAATTTGACGACCTGTTTTAAATTATCGCGTTCAGTAACAATGACAGCAACGAAAAAATACTGTTCAGCAAAACAATTTATCACGGGTAATGTGGCGGTATAAATAATTCTACAACTCAAGTTTACAAACAGTTTCGCTCACAAGGTCTAGTTGCTCTGCTAGTTCAGAAGGGTCAAGAAGAGGGTTCTAAATGATAAAAGTATCTGTATATAAGTAAAAATAATTACAACATATTTTATATATTAATTTTATTTTATTTTACTTTTTTTTCTTATTGGTTGATACAATAAATCAACAAAATAATTACACACATTCAGATGAACCTGGTGCAAAGAGATCAATTAATTTATATATGTATGTATGTATGTATGTATGTATGTATGTATGTATGTATGTATGTATGTATGTATGTATGTATGTATGTATGTATGAATGCATGCATGTATGTATGTATGTATGTATGTATGTATGTATGTATGTATGTATGTATGTATGTATGTATGTATATATATATATATATATATATATATATATGTATATATATATGTATATATATATATATATATATATATATATATATATATATATATATATATATATATATATATATATATATATAAACATAAACCTTAATGAATATAATTAGTTTATTACGATTTTTACAAGTGTCGGCTGCTATCATTGCCTGCCGAATTTCCGATGCATTAGTGCAATTTTAGCCGCAAAGCATTGTTCTTTTATAAAATAGAATGTTGAATGGTACATTATTTCATAATTTGCTTATATAACAAGATATAATACAAAACATTTTGAACGCACGAGGTTGTAATTTTTTTAATAATGCAAATGATTAAAAATCAAAAGTTCATTTCTAGAGTTTTTTTCGTTTTTTTTTTTACTGTATTCACCCCCCCCCCCCCCTCAAAAAAAAAAAAAAAAAAAACAGCAGCAGCTACTACAGTCGAGGAGACTACTTTTTTAAAAAACTTTTTTTTATTACAACTCACTCTGAACCCTTTAACTCCACAACTTTAACAAGGCCGCTGCATGGAGAAACAAGTTGAGCACGTTATTACCAGTGACGTTGTGGGGGATCGTTATAAGATGAGCACGTTATTACCAGTGACGTTGTGGGGGATCGAATTCGAAACTTCTTGTTTACGCTTCGTTAACGAGAAGTTCCGAACAAGCGCTTCGTTAACGAGAAGTTCCGAGTAAAAGAGAATGGTAACTGCAATAGAGAAATACTAAACTGTTTTGTCGTTGGTCTGCAATTCCAACTTCATTTTCATCATACTAATGGAAAAATATTTTTTATAATCCTGATTTGATTGTAAAAACTTAAAAAAACCCTTTAATGAAGCAATTCGTTTGGAAGACAAAGGGTGAAAAATAGTGAAAAAATAAATCTAAACACCAATGACTGGATATATTTTTTAGCTGCAAACACCAAAAAAATGGTACCACTAAATTTGAACTTACTAGGGATTGCAATACCGGTTATCGGTTTACCAGTAAATTTTTTTAAGTTTTGTACCGGTAAATTTTTGTAATTTACCGGTAAATCAAGCTTTTTGCTATGTAAGGATTGTTTTAATTTCTAATTGCTGAATATTTTTATCTAATAAAAAATTTAATATAAATATTAAATAAGTTATTTATTTTCTTGTCGATAGATTAAAAATTGTAAAGCACTCTTGTTTGAACTTAACGCTTGAGTAAACTTAACGACTCTAATTTATGTTTAAAAAAAATATATAGAACGCGCAAAAAAACCGGCAGTTGCAATAGCATCGATAACTACTTCTTTTATCAAAAAAGAGACAATTTACATGAGGCTGTACTTTCAAGAATGATTGTACAAGATGGCATTCCTTTCAATAAATTTTGTACCAAAAATGATAAATACGTTAAAGAAACTATCGGAAAAGAATTTTCTTTAATTTTAGACTGTAAAACTAGATGGAGTAGTTTATTAAGCATGCTGGAAAGATTTTTAAAAAAGATGCTGTTCGAAAAAGTCTGATAGATTTAAAAATTGACATTGATTTTAATGAAAGTGAAGTAAAATTACTTTCAAATATAATATCAAGCTTGCAACGTATTAGGTTAGCCGTTGAAACACTCTGCACTGAAAAGGGTAATTTATATGTAGACGATCTTACATTAAAGTTTATGTTAGACAAGTTAAGTAACCAAAACACTTTTTTAAGTATTGCACTAAAAAATTAATTAAGAAGTTGTATTAAAGAAAGAAGAATGATAATTTCAGACGTGTTACACTATATAACAGACCCTAATGATATTATTTCTGTTAAAGACAATTATGGCATTTTTAATATCAGCAGTAAAGCCGTAATTATTAAAACTTTTGTTGACATTGTAGAAATATTTTGTACAATAATGTGGAATCTGGTGAGAGTATTTAAAGACACCTAAATGAATCAGATTTGAATTTAAATAACGACCTCATTACTGTTAAACCAAATACTGATTTTTCTATGAAGGAAAAACTTCATTATTTTCTTTAAAAACAAACATACAAGAATAAAAGGGATAACTGTTTTAAAAGAACAACAAAAGGTCTAAAAGAAGTTATAAAAAAAGAGTTAGTGTACTTTCGACAAGAAAATATACGAGGGAAGTACATTCAAATAGTTTTTGACTATTTGATGACCATTCATCCAAGAAGTGTTAAACCTGAAAGAGTATTTTCAGGAACTGGACTAATTTATTTAAACAATTTAATATATAACAATCAATATGAATTCAAAAAAAAAATAACTCGACAGAACACGCAGTTCTCCAGTTTACGAGAAGTATTACTAACTCTTTTGAAAACTCTTAATATACAGTTAGGGTTTTATTCGACTTAGCTAAAGCTTTCGATACAATAGACCACAATATTCTTTTAAATAAACTAAAGATTTACGGTATAAACGGAAATGTTTTAAATTGGTTAAAAAGCTATTTAAATAATTGAAAGCAACTTGTATACGTGGATGTAGTTTCACCAGTAAGCATACTCGATATAAACTGTAGAGTTCCTCAGGGATCAATATCGGTCTTTTAATATTGATAAAACGAAATGGATTTTTTCCATCCCAATCACAAAAAAAAATTTTATACTAAATGACATGCCACCGCTTTTTATTGATAACATACTTCTAAAAAAAGTAACAGTTACCATTTTTCTTGGAATTTATATTGATGAAAATTTGTCATGAAAAAGTCACATAAAAAATTTGAGTAGTAAAATATCAAAAAGCATAGGAATTTTATACAAGGCAAGGAGTTTTTTAAATAAATATGCATTAATTAAACTATATTATTCGCTTATTTGTTGCCACATAAACTATGCAAACATTGCGTGGGTTAGTACTAATAAAAGTAAACTGGAACCTCTTTATCATCAACAAAAACATGTTGCAGGCCTTATTAATTTTAAAGATTAATTTACTCATGTCAAGCTTCTATTAATTGAAGTGAAAGTTTTAGATATATATGAGCTTAATATTTTTAACGTTATATGCTTTATGTTTAAATGTAAAAACAATATTTCTCTGCTTTACCTTTTTCATAATTTGTATAACAAAAAAGAAAATACTTTTTACAAAATGATAACGACGTTCGTCAATCAGCTTATCAAACTAATTCTGGATAATACTGTATTTCATTTCGAGGAGCATTACTTTGGAATAAAATAGTTTTAAAGAATTTTGACTTTTCTCAAGAGTTTAGCTATCACTCTTTCAAACAAAAACTTAAAAAAGTCATTTTTTATTAGATGATATATCTATTTTCTTTTAATTCTTTTTTTTTTAACTTTTTTTAAACACTGCATTAATAAAATTAGTAATTTAACTATTTTGTAAATAGTTGTTTAAAAGGTTTCTAAAAACTGTATAACTTATCTATGTATTTATAACGGAACCTTTTTTTCTTTTTTTCTTTAAATTTGTTTATGTTTTTAATTCTTAATTCTTAATAATTTGCTATCTTCAAGTATATTAAGTATATAAAGTTTATTTATTTTGAGAATATTTTATTAATACAAAATGTTAACACGTAAACTTTTTAGCGGTTCTCGACGACAAGACCTTACGGTCTTCTACGAGTTCCCGCATTCTTTTATTTTATAATAGCTATCATTTATATATATATATATATATATATATATATATATATATATATATATATATATATATATATATATATATATATATATATATATATATATATATATATACATATATATATATATATATATATATACATACACACACATTGTTAACCAATATTTAAATCAAAATCATCATAAATCAAAAAAGAAAAAAAAAAAAAAAAATTGTATAAATATTAGATCTCGATTTGGAGACAAGACATTGGATAGTTAAAGCTTTTTTAAAAAAAATTTTTATGAGCCTAAGTATATTAAAAAGTATTATAATTCATAAAAATGCTTCAAAAGTGCTGTCGTTTCACTTTTCTATTAAAACCTTTAATCCTTTTCTAATCGAAAATGAATTTAGGAAACGTGAATTATTATTTTACAAGTATTCTTATTTCCTCTAAACACTTTTACATAAATAGTATTTATATTCACGTAATACTTACCATAACAGACTGCATCGGTAACTGCCAGAGCCTTAGTGAGACCACCTCCGAGCGTGACCTTGGTATCATTGTCAATGACCGACTCAAATGGCAAGACCGAATCGCACATGCTGTAGTCAAAGCCAACACAGCACTAAGCATGTTAAAAAGAACATTCCACCATTGGGACGTTTAACAGCTTTCGTATACTTTATACAACTTATGTACGACCGCATCTCAAGTTTTGCTCTGCCGCCTGGAACCCTTATTATTGCGGAGACATTGATGCTCTCAAAAAAAGGCCACTACGATTTTACCTCACCTCAAGCTATTAAGCTATCACCAAGGACTAGCCTCAATAAACATTCAATCGCTAAAGGATAGAAGACGTAGGGTTGACCTAATACAGTTTTTCAAACTATACCACGGTATTAACGAAGTTGAGCTTTGAAAACAAAACTCACTAGCTCGAGCACTAAACGTGCTAAGACCAGCCAACGGCCTCCGCGGCCAACGTCATGGTCTTCAACGTCAAGCAGTAGCAAACTGTTTACAAAGAGAATTCTTTTTCTGTAATCGCATCGTACCTGACTGGAACATCCTTCCAAACTCCATCGTACCTACCGCATCAGTTAACGCTTTTAAAAGTCAACTGGACTTATTTTTTCCAAAACTTTTAATTAAAAACAAAACCAATTGACATTTATCATAGTAGAGCTTTGTTAGTTGCTCTGCTTGCAAATGCTTAAGCATTTGTTTTAAATTATATAAATTATTATTTAAAATATATTTACTTCATTTTTAGGAAAAGAAAAGTTAAATGATATTTGTTTACAAATTTAATCTGCCATTTTTAAAAGGGCAAAAGCTTCACTTTTCGGATCGAAGTTAGACATCTAGTATATATAATATATCATTGGTAAATACAGCTTTAAAAAAAATGTCTCACTTGCCCCAGGTTCTTATTTAAGCAAGTTATATTAGGAAAAAAAGTAATAAAATTTTTTTAACCGGAATATCTTTTATCTTTTTCTCTCTGGATGAATATTCTCTTAATATGAAATTGTTTCCCATCTTAAATAAAAAATTTTTTATTAAATTAATCTTATTAAATTTTTTAATATTTTAACATATATATTACGATATTATATATATTACGATAAGAAATATAAAAAAATATAATCACATATATTATACACAGTAGACCAGGTGAATAAAAAAAAGCAATTGCTCTTACTCAGTAATTGGTCAGGTTTACGTGAATAAAAACTTGCTAAATTGCTAAAATTTTTATTCACGTAAAGCTGACCAATTACAGAGTAAAAGCAATTGGGTTTTTTTTATTCACCCGACCTAGTGTGTAGAAATTTTGGGGACATCTGACTTTTCATTTTTTTTCAAAAAATTTTGATCAAAGGGTAACAAAACTATAAATGTTAACTTATCAGATTAACTTTATCGAATAAAAAAATTATCATCGGCATTTTTTTTTACCTATCAAGGAAAAATTGCTTTTGACCGGCCACATAACAATAGAACATTGTTCTGGTGTCCAAATGTTATGCCTACAAGAAAATGCATTATTTTCTTAACCATAGCGACTGTCACAATGTTTTTTGTGCTGAAATGAGACATGGTAAGACAGGTGCATTTTTTTTTTCAATTCTGCGGCACTAACATTATACGTTCTTTTAGAAAATGAAACAATTAATTCTGAACGCTATATAAGGTGTTTAAAACAAGAAATCTGGACTTTTCAAAATTCTTAAAACAACTTTCTTTATGCAAAATGGCGCAGGTCTTTGCAGCACTTTCGAAATCTCTCTGAAAGAATGCTAAAACATATTGAAATGGCACTTAAGAACAAAGGGCAGATGACTAAATATAAATAAATTACTAGAATAATTAAATAATTTAATCTTGAGTTTTTGAAAAAAAAAAAGTCAAATGTCCGCGTTTTTCTGCATTAGCTATATTATATTATATATATTATGATAACATATATAGTATTATAACATTTATATATCATTATAACATATATTATATATTACTATAATACACACACATACACACACACACACACACACACACACACACACACAACAAGTGTATGCAATATAAATTAAATAGTAATCTGGTATACATCAACAAGATTCAGGAAACTAAGTGAATTTTTTGCAGTTCATATTCTTAAATTATGGTTTAAAAACTATAACACGCACACACACATATATACATATTTTAATATTTGAAAGATATAACATCTAAAAATTATTTTTAAAATCTATTTTAACACTAGCTTAGCACTATTAATCTAAAAGAACTTGTATAAAGCCTTAAGAAGAAAAGTTATTGTTTTGATCTCTGAATTTTTACAAGGCCTTTATAACTCAGGGTTAAAGTATTTTGTAAAACAACATAAAGATGCTGAGCTGGTATGAGTGAAAAAACTTACCTCATAGTATAACCTTGTATCATTCATGCGAATTATTACTCCATCAACACGAAGGAAAAAACGTTGCAGGGCAAAGAATGAAGAAGGCATGACACGCTATAAACATAATCCAAAACATAATTAAAAGTAATGACACATAATTAAAAGTAATGACACATCAAAAATAATGACACATAATGTTGTCTGTCCATTCTTTTAACAATTGATATTTTTGTTTTAAAGAATCTTATTATCAGATTAAATGTTTTAACAGTTTCATATCACTAGCAATTAGTTTATTTGAACATGAAGTCTTACAAAGTATGTTGTTAAAAAATATGATGATAATAAAAATACTGAGCCTTGAGAAATCCACTATTGACTAATTCCTATTTTAAAATAAACACTTCCAATTATTCTTTAATATCAGTTGTTTAAAAAAACTTTTTGCACCACGCTAAAATACTGCTTGTATTTCTAAAAAGTCCACCTTTATACATAAACTTTGCTCTCAAACAAAATTAAATGCTTTTCTAAAATTAAAAAATCAATATTAAAGACTATCAGTAGTTTGAACTCTTAAAACACAGTTTTAAGTTGGGGTTTTAATTCCTGCACATAAACCCTATCTGCCCTATGCACATAGTTTATACCTTTTATTCATCAATAAAGGATTTTAAACTTATGTTGTTGCCATACATCCACCTGAAAATAAATTCAAAAAATAAATAAAAGCATCCTACAACATAAAAATTCAACCATATGTTTTATAACTCATTGTCATGTCATACAGAGTAATTCAATCAATCTACATTAAGAAAGAATTTATTAAGGTCTTCATAATCATTATTTTCAAAGATTTTTTTTTTCTCAAGTTCCTTATTTAAGTTGTCATCAAACCAGTACTTAAAGATATTTATTAGCCAAAATAAATATTGCCTAATTGAGGCAGGTGATTTGTTATTATTGTGTTAAACTGTTTTTTTTTTCAGAATTGATTAAATCAAGTACATGTTCTCCAGGTTAAAAACTTGATTCAGTAAAAACTTGAAGAAGTTTAATAAATTGTAGAAAAACTAATTTTTATAATGTATGCTTGTTTATTTAAACACGTGCACACACATGCACAGTAAATGCAACTACAAAGGATTTTTTTAGAACTTTTTTCAAATACACATCTAACTTGATGGATTGCTTTTTTATGCAAATTCTAATCTATTTCATATGATATACTATAATCTTTGATACAAATACTAACACTTCCTCTGCTAAGTCCATATTTTTTTTACATATCAAATTCAATAATGTTAATTGGTAATACTTTGGACCATCAGTTTTTTTTTTTTTTTTTTTTTTTTTTGTTATTTCACCTCCCCAAGGCCAAGAAGGCCACTACAGACAAGGAGGCTGCTTAATTGTGGTTATAACCCTCTCTCAACTCTATAACTCCGAAACATGAACCTTGGTGAACAAGGCTGCTGAGCAGAGAAACAAGTTGAGCGCGGTACTACCAGGGACGTGGTGGGAATCAAACTCCGAGCCTCTCGCTTATGAAGCTTATGAAGTTTTACTAATAAAAACTATTGTTGAATTACATTTTGTAATTTTCATTAAAAGTTTGATTTGTTGATTAAATGACATTAGCGTATAAACATTTTAAAAAGTTTTTCTCATTGAAATTTTGCCTTTTTTGCTCACTCAAACCAGTTGTTTGTTTCTTGCAAACTAAAGAAGAATCATGCAGTAAATTATTGCTATAAGTCTCAGTAAAAAACTCCTCTAGATTTGTACCCATTTTTATGCTATTTATTTATTGACAATGATTTGAATTTATATTTTTCCGAATATTGATTTTTACAGCAAGTTTTAAATTTTATTATTTTTTCTAAGAATAGAAAAAAACCTTATCAAATTTGTTAATAAAAACTGTTATTAGAAAAGAATGTTTATTATACTTTAGTCTCTGATGTATATTAAACTTTAAACATAAAATTTTTATTTCAAAGTTAAGAGGATCATTAAACAAATGCTAAACTTTTAATTATTAACAATATAATAACTAGTTAGTTACATCTTGAATCTCAAACTTATTAAAAATATATTTATGGTGCTCCACTTTTCAACTTGTTAAAAAAACGTTTTACTCCTATTTTTCACTGAAAGTGTTGCAGAAACTTACAATTTTTACTGAAAGTGTCACCATACCATGATCTGCTAACTCATCTTCAAATAACAATAAATCTTGATAAAAAGCAATACTTTCACGTTGGCGAAGTTTTTCTAGATTAATTCGCTCTTCTGTTGCAACAATCTAAAAATATTTTATTTTTTTTATTACATTTCATTTCCACTTTTTAATAGAGCATTCACGTTTTGAAGTTTTATATATATATATATATATATATATATATATATATATATATATATATATATATATATATATATATATATATATATATATATATATATATATATATATATATATACATATATACATATATAAGATGTAACTATATTTGGTAATTTTTCTCAAAGTCCAATAACATCAGAAACAATTTCCTCCAGATGTAACTACATCTGAAAAAAACTGAAACTACAACCAGTTAACATAATGCATTATTATTAAATAATTTTTTCCAGATGTAACTACATCAGAAAAACCATATATGTAACTACATCTGGTTAATTAACATTTGTAATTTTATAAAATCCTGTAGTTATTCTTTACATAATTGAAACAATGTAACTACATCTATAAAATCTCCAGATGTTGTTATACTTAAATAATTAAAAAGATGTAACTACATTTGTAGTTGTCATATACTTTTAACACAGATTTAATTAGACATCAATGAAATTTCAGATGTTGTTGGACAGATGTTATTATAACTCAGTGTATTTACAGATGTTGTTGGACAGATGTGGTTATACATCATTATATTTACAGATGTGGATAGACATTATTAGACATAGCAAAAACTGATGTTTTAACCCTGACTCATATTTCCCTATGATTCTGTTGTTTAATTGCTACAAAAACTCCCACCAAAGCTTTTCGAAGTTGCAGATGGTTGCCCTGCCATATTTTTAAAATCAATGACTACCATTTCTCTTTCGAGTTTGTTTGAGTTTTCAATGACTACAAATACTATACCAAAAATTTATAAATCAGTTAATATTTGTCCAATTTTGAAGAAACTATTCTAGGAACTATACTAATTTTTTTTAAAGACTTTAATTACAAGGATTGGTGGATATTGATTGATTGATGGAACTATATTGTTCTTAATTTTTTTAATTAATAGGATTGATGGATACTGTGGCATTAAGCAGTTTGCAGATAATATCAACTTGTACCAATTGAGAAATCATGTAAATACTTTTAAAAAAATCTCCGCATGGTCAAATGATTGGCAACTCAAAATATAACTAACAAATATTTTCATTTTTGCTTAAGACATTTTTAATTTATTTTTATTCATTAAGTTACATTATTAATAATATCAAAAATATTTATTCAATTCAGGATATTGGAACAACCACCAATCACCATGTCTTTTGATACAAATTTCTCTAACCATTGCTCTTATATTTTAAATATAGCATACTTTCATATTTACCCACTTTTAAAACCCTTCATCACTAACAATTCTTAACTTATGTTAAAAGCCTTCATGTGTGGCCTGTCCTGTACTAGAACCTTGTACTCCAGTTTGGAGCTCTTAGATATTGAATGATTTAAACTGGATTGGAAAAAATTTTGGGTAAAAAAAAAGTTCAGATATTTTTTTACCCAAAATTGTCTGCAAAAGATGTCATATTACACTGATTACTTATCAAGATACATAATATAAATAATCAGAATAAAATTAATCAAAATTAGGAATTTAATTTTAATGGTGTTTAAGATAGATCAGAATTTTTAAGCTCTTATAAAAATAACTCAAAATAGTTAAATGGAGTTATGGGTTATTCGAAACCCAGTATAAAAATTATTGTTATTACATTGTAACTTTGTTTTTAATAATTGACTTTGACAAAGTTTTTTTTCATGTTTTTGAAACTTTTTAAATTTTATATTTTCTGAAAAACATTTGCATGTTTGCTTTAATGTGTTCCCTTAAATTGGATGTTGTAATTTTTTTTTAACTGTTATTCCTCTACTTCCTTTCATTTCCTGTTCTCCTATTCCTCCAATTGATACTTTTATTTTTTTAAATTAAAATAAAATATCAAATTAGACTTGAAGATGTGCATTAATATCAGATTTTAGATAGGAATTATAGTAGCTTCACTTTTATTTAACTTAAATTTTTTAAGTTCATGATTAAACTCATTCACCTCCTTAAGACCAAAGGTGTCAGAACAGCCAAGAAAACTCTTCTTTTTCTTCATTGTAGCTACATCCCAATATCAGACCTTTAACTCTTCAGCTTTGACAAACAACAGTCTGCAAAATTCAGGTTGGCATTCGGCAATGCCAACGCAAATGCCGACCTCTCTTTGTTTTTCGATGGCATATAACTGCCGACCTGAATCTCTTAAAGTGTCGGCATGCAGAAATAAATTTATGCAAAAATTAAATAATACTTGTTCAATATAAGTTTATCATTTGTTATTATAATTACTTTTAAAGAAATTATGGAAAAACAAAATGCTTTTTTTTTTTTTTTAAATATAATTTTATTTTTTTCAAATTTAATTAGGCATAGCAAAGTTTTTTGACGATCTAACCTCAGCTAAGTATGGCATTCTCGTGCCGACCAAAAATCCTTCGAATTTCACAGACTGTATATATATATATATTACAATGCATACACACTAATGTAACAATATAACATTCCTATTATTTTTACTTTATTCTGATGACTAGGTACAAGTGTTCCCATATAGTTAGTGGTAAAAGTCCAATCAAATGGGTTAACTATATCATCAATGAACTCGTTATCAGCTCTAGAAAAATAAAATAAAACAAATAAATAAAATAATGAAATAAACAACAAAAACATATTTTAAGTTATTAATATTAAAATAAAAAATAAATATATTTTTACAACTAATGAAAAATTAGTTAATACTAGCTTGCACCAAAACGCTCCATTCATAAACCACAAATCAAAAAAAAAAAAAACGCAAAGTAGCTACTTACATCTTAAATAGCTACTTACATCTAGCTACATCAACCTTAACTACCTATTTAAATCTAGCTCCTTCTAACAACCTACTCACACCTAGCTATTCTACCCAATGCTACCTCCTTATACCTTATTCCTCTATGCCACCCTCCATTGTTATTTTATCCCAGGCCCCTTTTATCACTTCATCACCATCCTCCTTCACCCCTAACTACTCTATCCTCAGCATTTGTTAAGATATAATATTTAATTACATTTTATTCCTTTTTTAAAAAAATTAAGATAATTTTTTAATTAAGATAAACAATAACAATATTTTGAGCAATAATTTTTTTAACTTAGTAACACATGATTTAAAATGCAGAGAAGTACAATACTTTAAATATATATATATATATATATATATATATATATATATATATATATATATATATATATATATATATATATATATATATATATATATATATATATATACACACATAAGTATATATATAGTGAACATTTAAAAAAATATTTAAAAAGTTAAAATTCACAAAAAAAAATACTCAATGACAGTAGAGCGAGTAAATGTAATTTCTTACTTTTAAAAAAATTAAAAATCTCTGGGATCTGTCTCAGTAACAATACAAAATAATACTACCATTAAGATTCATATAATAATTGAAGTTTTCATTTAATATATATATATATATATATATAAGTTTTCATTTAATATATATATATATATATATATATATATATATATATATATATATATATATATATACATACATATATATATATATATATATATATATATATATATATATATATATATATATATATATATATATATATATATATATATATATATATATATATATATATATATATATATATATATATATATATATATATATATATATATAAATATTGTAATTCAGTCAAAAATTCATAATAACCCCTTAGCTTTAAAAATTAAGTGTAATCCAAAAAACAATCCAAAAGATGTTTAGCTTGCGATTGTAGATTAATCAACACTACCTACAACATCATTTGAACTATATATCACATTGCAAAAATGAATCATCTGTTTTCTGATTCAGAATAACTAATGATATTGATATTATTGATAATTAATCAAGATATATTATGATACTGATATTATTTATCATATGGCAAATAAAATGATTAAGAGCTTGTATACTATATATCACATAACAATAATAAAGTAGAACTTATAGCAAAAGATTTATAGCAAAAAATGTTGACAATGTGTTTGTGAGTACAAGAAAAAAATATTGTTAGTATCTTTTGATAAATTAAAAAACAGAAAAAACCTTTGAAGGCAAACTCTTTTATAAGTGCTTCATACGATAACTAATTTTGATAACCATTTTTTATACGATTGGTCTCCTTTACATGTAATGGTGCTTTCAAAAGCACCATTACATGTAAAGGAGACATACTTAGCAAAAAAACAGACATGAGTATTTTGAATTTTTTTGTTTCCCAATTATTTATTGCATAGTAGTAATTATTGTAAAGAGTTCACATGTCACATATAGAAAAAAAATTTTATTAGTTATAATTCTTTAACAGCGCTATTTTTGATGGCTAATTCAAATTATTATAAATCATTCTATCAAAAATTTCAAAAATGAATTATAGTCTAAAACAAAATAAAGGAGACACACTGGCCTTAAAATTGTGCAGCGTCAATTTCATACTAAACATTGGATTTAACAAAAGACTGTTTTAAAGTTTTCTAATTTTCATTCAAATTAGCATTTTATTACAAAATTTCGTCAATAATTATTGTTAAATTATTTATTTCATTGCAAATTATTATTAATCACAAAACATAATATAAAAAATAAAATAAGAATATATACAACTTTGTAAAAAAAGATTGAATATAACTTATCAAATCATTATAAGCATCACTACAATAATAAAATTGTATACTTAAAAATAACGGTTACTAGCGATGGAAGTTAAAAACAATAATTACTTGTAATGGAAATTAAAAATAACCATAATAATTACTATTGATGGAGGTTATTTTTAAGTGCCAATTACCATTTATACCAAGTTGAGGAAAACTTTCATCATTTGAATGAAAATTTACCATTTGATGAAAATAAAAATTATATGTATGCGAACACTTTTACTCATAACTAAAACGATATGAGTTATTCATCTTCTTTCTTTACAAACTGGTTGATGTATGTACACCTAAGTTTGTGTTAGTAATGTATTTGTTAAATGTAATACGAAATATTAAACTTTATTGTACGTTTAATAAACATAACATTTATTAAAAAAGCTTGACTTTCCTATTTAAAAATGTGATTTCTGTAACTCAGGTAAATTTTTTCTAACTTGTTCAAAATAACTTGAATCATATATTAAATGGTTGCAATTATTTTTTTAAACCAAAAAAACTTTTTGAATTTTAAAATGCTTCTAAATTTTTGCAGTTTAATTCCCATTCAACATCCATTTTAATCGAAATCCATTGCATTTAGGAGGTGCACCATGAAAGAATTAAAACTAATAAAAAACTTTTTTATGTGAAAACTTATTAAAATGTTGCAATATCCACGGCATAGTGGAAGAGGGCTATATCTCTAATTTTGAAAAAAATTTCTCTAATTTGAGTCAATTACTACCCCCCTCCAATTCAATTCCTTCATTCAAAATAATAATTTATTCTGAAAAACTGATTCAAAAAAATTGATTTAATCATATAGTTTTTTCTGAATCTAGTTTTCCTTGCATAACTCTTAAACTATGAAAACTGTGTCAAAAAAATATTTTTAATTCCAATAAAAAAAATAATATAGATTAAGCTTATAAAACAAACTAAGGATTGCTAAATTATTTGGTTAAGACATCATCACAGTGTATGTATGTGTTCCTTCATTCACACTATTTTGTTAGAGGTCTGGTTTTATTACACTTTTTGTAATAATCAAAACAGCTTAATTAAATTGATCTAGGCACATATAGCTAAAGAAATTAAAAAAATTGGTACATTATTTAGTTAATTGTTGGTATATTATTCAGTTCAAGTTGATATACTATTTGGTTTATGAAATAATTTTTTTTTTAAAAGCTACAACTTGATTTTTTTTTAACAAAAGAGTTAAAATACTATAATTTAATTAAAAAATTTTCATTTATAAACAAAAAAATTTTTATTTAAGAAAAAAAGTTTTAAAATAATAATTACAATAACATGCTTTTGTTTATTTCGATTATTAAAATCATAAAAACTATAACATATAAGAGCTACTATGGTTACTAAGAGTTAAAATAATATGGTTTAATTTAAAAATATTCATTTAACCCTTTCACTCCCGAGATATTTACCGCTACATTCCCAGAGTTGAAATTCTTGTTTCTGACTTAAACACTTTGAAACCTTGCAGTGACTAAAATAATGAGCAAATCTCTGTGAAACTTGGCCCTTTTTTTACTAACATATTGATTGAACATAATAATTTAAAAAAAATTACTTATCACACTTGTAAGATGTCACACGACTTAAAAAACATCTTTCAACATAATTTAAAATTTTGCTTTTTTGCAGTAAAATCCAAAAATAAACCAAAAAATTATGTTATAAACAATTAAAACTCATTTAAAAACAGTTTGGCAATCACTTAACTAGTTTCTAGCGAAAAAATTAAAAGCTTATCATAAAAACTCTAGAAAAAGGAGAGATTCTAAAAATATGAGATTTTTTTTCAATTTGTTATTTTTAAGATGTTTTTATTATATTTGTAGCATGAGACAAAAAATAAATTGTAAGGTAAAAAATTAAGTCTATCTATATAAACAAAACAAACAATAAATAATTAAGTTTAGTGTGGTAAACTTCAAAACAAATATCTGGGTGAAGCCCTGGTTCAGATGGGCAAAATCAACAAACATATGTAGTTTTCAGCGGTTGACATTTAGGTGATAGTTTTCCTCTTGCATAGCACACTCTGAATCTTTTGGTTAGTCTTTTATTTGTTGCATCTGGAGAAGCTACTTTTAGTGAAGGGAAGTGTCTGCCAGTAAGACGAGACGATGAAATTATCTAATATTTGGTTGTTTGGTATAGCTGGATTGATTAGTACTAAAGATGAAATAGTGTCATGCAAGAAATCTTGGAATGTTATTTTAGATTTTCCAGTTTCATGTAGGAAAACTTTATGTGCATTTAATATTACCTGTGAAATCATTCTAAATGCTAATTTTTTGTACCACTTATATGTTTTACGCAATGTGCGTAAACTATGTAACTGTTGATCAACTCTGTCAACCCCTCCCATGTGACTATTATATGATCATACTACTGATGGTTTGTATATTGCAGAATCATTTGCATAGGTTTTACCAGTGTCAATCATTTTTACTGAATGGCAAGTTGACAACATATATACAATCTTTTGCTTATTTCCTGACTTATTTTTGACAGCTCGATATTTACATGCAATAACACGTGAATCAACTGTGGAGCGATAGAATACAGCTTCTCCTTTTTCTAATGAAAACTCAGCAATTTCTTTACAGTACTTTTTTCTATTCGATTTAACTGTTCCACAAAGATGTGTTTCTTTCTAAAAGAAAAGTTGCTAATGAAGGACTTGTGTAGTAGTTATCTGTAAACAGTATATGTCCTTTGTCTAAAAATGATTCCATCAGTGCAGCTGGTATTCGCTCAGTACTGGGCATATCCTCATTTCCATTTTTATAGAACATGCCTTTACCACAATATACCAAAAAATCTAGTGTTATTCCACTTGATGTGGTCAATTCATAAAGTTTTATGCTAAAACGTGCTCTTTTTGTATGAATATATTGCTTAAAATGCAACCGTCCCTTAAAGCATATAAGTGATTCGTCAACACTAAGATTTTGAGGTAGAATACATTTTTACATTGGTCTCTGATTAGTTCTATAAATGGTCGTACTTTGTGTAATCAATCACGGTTTTCATCTTTTACATCATAATTTGGATCATTGTTATTGTTGAAGTATAAAAACTATAAAATCAGTTGAAATTGAGTGCGTGACATTACTTTAGAAAATATTGGAGTGCTAAAAAACTCAGATGTAGACCAATACATATGAATATCAGGTTTATATATAACTCCCATAAGCAAAACAAGAGCCAGATACTTTTTTATTTCTAAAACAGTGACTGGTTCCCAAATTCCTACATAATCATTACTGGCTTTAACCGGATTCATATCTAAAAAATCTTGAGCATAATGATTTGTTTCAACAACTATGAGTTCAATAATATTAGGTGTCAGATATAGGTCAACAAAATCTAAAGGAGAAGGATTTTCTTTCAACACTCTTACTCTAAGTCCATCTACTTCAAAGAAAGGTATAATTGGGAGCATGCTCCCATGTTGATTTTGAATCAATTCCTTGTTGATTAATTTTTGCAACTCTAGCATTGGGTTTTCCTTTTTTACCACATGGCCTTCCTCTACAACCTCTATTGTTGTTACCATTTTTTTTTTATCTATGTTAGTAACTTGAAATATTTGATTTTTATTATTGACAATGTTTTTTGTATTCCACAGCGAACTTTTAATCCTTTTAGTTCTGCTACGCCATTTTTTCTGTTGGAACAAAATAACTGATTAGGAAATAGGGTCTCGTTGTTCCCTTTAGGGTCTATTTCCTCACTATTATTTTCTTCAATTTCTTCTTTCTCTTCTTTAACAATATCCATTTTATAAACCTGCTTTATTTCACAAAAGTTTGGTAAGGAAGAACAGTTTTTGTTCTGAAAATCATCAGGTAAAGGTAAAATAGGAGCTACAATAAATTCTATATCTTCCTCTTCATATTCCCAATCTAGGGGGAATATGAAGAGGAATCTGAATCACAGGGAAAATCGCAAGGTTAGTTATGACCCGCAGTGCGGGTCTCAGGGAGTGAAAGGGTTAAGAACAAGAAAAAAAATTTGAACAAAATTCTACTGTCATCCTGTATCGCTCACATACAATTTGCTTATTGTTTTAGAAAAGAGATGTTCACTTAGTGCACCAGTATACATAAAACCATTGTTGAAATACAAACTTGGATACTATATTGATTTTGATCCCAAAGCTCTAAAACATTTTGCTTATACAGTGACAATTTTATTTATTCACTAACTCTCTTTTTAAACCTATATTTAAACATGTTTTTTCTCTCTCGACATATTTACATTTGTCTGTTTTCTTCCTACATCAATTTTTCATATGTCAAATGATAACTTATATTTTTCAATTTCTTTGTGGCATTTTTAATTGGAATTAATTCACAAACTTTTTTGCCTGATTGAAATTCGACAAAAACTTCTTTATGCTTTTTAAATATTTTTTTTCTTCCTCAAACTTTATAAAGAATTTATAACTTTTATAATTTGGATACAAAAAACATAATAGAATAATTATTCTCAAAACAAATCTTTGTACATATGGTACATTTGAACATTTGCTTTTTTAAATACACAATAAAACCAGGGGGTGTATCACATTTTTATTACTGAGTTGTACTTTATACTAGAAATAATAAAAGAGCATGTTGCATAATTATTTACTTGATTATGATTTTCATTATGTTTTTAAAAGATTTAGAATTATACTAATGCATTTACCATTTCTTTTAAATTAACAATTTCATCTATAAAGAGCAAATTCTTTTCTCATACCTCCATATAGTTGTTTTGAATTTAAGATACCTTTAATGTAGGAGTTTAAACATTTGTCATCAAGTTTTCGCATATCAAATCAAAAGAAAAATGCATATCAAATCAAAAGAAAAATGCAGCATTTTTTGACACCTTAAATATAGACAAACTTTATCATTTTTAAATATAGACAAACTATCTCTATCATCTTCTTTAACTAAAATAATGATATCTTCAACTATTATTCCACCCTCACCGAACTATGGGAGTTATAACTATTATTGCACCCTCTCCAAAATGCTGGGGTTATAAATTTTACATGGTTATTTAGAGTTTAACTTTGGAGCATTAAAAGATTAGTAAATGACATCAAAAACTTAAAAATGAATTTAAACTTAGTATAAGATAATAAAAAAATATAATTCATTAAATCACTGCTCTCTTATTTAGGGCTTAATGCATCAATCAAGTAATGATCAACCAGGGCATTTTTTTAAAATCTTGAAAACTTTTTGCAAAAAAAATCCAGAATTTATTTCCTTTTTGTAAGATAATTTAAAAATTTTAAAAAACAAACATATTGCAAAAATATATACTAAATCTTGTACACAAACATTTAAAAATCCAGTAAAAACTAAATAATTGTTTTTAAACATTTTAAAAATCAATAAAATAAAAAAAAAGTTTAAAGAAATTTAAAAATAAATTATTATCAGTTAAAATGAAATTTTAACTGATAATAATTTTGACCTTAAAAGTTGAATTTTTTCTCAATGAAAACCAGTTAAAACAAATCTTGGCAAACATTTGACACTTTAAATCTAAACACAAAACAAACTTTTTTGAACACACTAATTTATATCAGCATAAATAGAAGAAAACTTTTTTTTGACATTATTTTCTGGTAATGTTCAAGATGGTAATCTTGTATACTCATTGATGTTATAATAGATTATTTTTTAGGTCTGTTACTATTGCATTGATTACCAAAGATCATCCAGGTCATATTTGTAAAATCCGTAAAAATTGGGTAAAATATCTGGAAAAAATCTGGAATATTTTTTCTCTTATTTTCCTCTTAATTTTGTTTTTAGCTGAGTTATTTTCAATTTTTTTTAAACTTTTCTTAATTTCTGTATGAATGATGAGTGAAAAAGCTTAAAAAATAAATATATTACAAAAAATATACCTAAACTTATATGTATGGTAAACGTTTTGGATATCTGAAAAAACTAAAAGTTAAGAAAATAATCCAGAATTCCGGAAATATAAGGAAAAAGATAATCCATGGATTACATATCCATTTTGATATTTTTATTGATTTTTTATAAGTATTATTGGTTTTTTCTTCAATTCAATTTCAATTTCCTTTTGACCAGATAAAAAAAAATTAATTTATTTTGCTGCTGTTATCAATTAAAGAGATTTATCCACCTTTATGCTTTCTTTTGTGCAATCTTTACTTAAAACCACATACTGGTTATAACCACATACTGGTACTGATATTTACTGATGTATGTATGTATGTACTGATGTTACTTAAAACAACATACTGGTTAAAACCACATACTGGTACTGGAATGGAACAGTTTAATTAGAAAAAATCTATTTTTGTTTAACATAATTTAAAATATAAAGTATACAGTGGAAAACCAGTACTTAATAAGTGTAAAGGATATTTTAACTAAAAGATATTTCTTGAAGTTTCTTGTATTGAGAAATTTATTGAACCTAATATAAATTATGACAATCAAATTAATTTTTAAATTTCTTCAAATTTATTGTATCAAAAATTTGCTTAATATTTTTATGACAAAAAATAAAATATGATAAATAGGTAGTATTTATCATAAATAGGTGTTTTTTAATAATAATTTTAATAATGTTTTTTAATATATCTTTTATAATAAATAGGTGTTTTTTCTAAAACGTGGTTTTCGGTTCGCGGTTTATGGCTATGACTCTATTTAAAGATGAACTAGTTTTTTCTTGCAAACCACAATTACCACATAACTTTGACAATTACCACATAACTTGCACAATAACTTTTAATTTAATTTATTTTAATTAAAAATTAGTCAACTAATTTAAGTTAGACTAAAAAGTCAACTAATTTTAATTATGTTAAAAAGTTAGCCAACCAATTTAAATTAAAGTTTTTAGTTTATCTTAACTGAAGTTTTTTAGTTTAAAACTTTAAGTTTTGGCCACAACACTAATGATTTAAACATGATTAAAATTTTGTTCATGCAACATACATATTTATATAATACATCAAAATGACAATATAGAGTTCTGACAATAATAACTCTAATCTCTCAGGCTTTGAAACTATATAACGCTATCACTACAGAATATTACAGCAACCAATTGTAATAGGTTATTATACATTCTTTTGATAATATAACAACTATTTTTCTAATACAAAATTTGAGAATTTTTGCTTTTTTTTTTTTGTAGCTATAATTTCTAAATACCACAATTTCTAAATACCACATTTTTTTCTTCAGTATTAAAATATTGGTTCAGCCCAATCAAAATAAAGACATTAAAAAGCTAATAAAACTTATGCAATTAAAAAAACTAACATATATTAATAAAATTATACTAACTTGCTTATTTAAAAATTTACAACATGATGTTAAACAATCTAAAATCTTTAAAAAGCAGTAACCTGTATTTTCTCCATTCCTCAGCTACCCCAACTTTCAATAAGTCATTTTTATTATCCACTAATTTTAATGCATCCAAAGCATTAAAACAAATGCTAAAGCCATCATCATGATTTATTTGAAGAAATGTTTCTCCAAACACCATTTCGGGCAATGAGGGAAGATTTAACTCATTTGATATTCTAAATGAATAAAAAAAAATTGTATAGTGTACAAAATATGTCAGAATTAAATATATTACAGGTCTTATTTACTTAAAGACCTGTCAAACTTAACAATGGAGTTGTTAGTTTGTTATCCAACCCCAAGAAGCCAATACAGTCACTTAAATATTTATAATTTTACATACAATTATTTATTATTTAACTTTTCTCCTGTTGAATCATTTCACAAGAAACTTGTAAAAGTTTTAGATCTTGCTAAAGGGCAGCACTAATATACATTATAAAATTCTCATAAACTAACAGTGAAAATAAGGGATTTCATTATAACTTTGGATGTTCTGAGTCACTGCTAACAGAGAATTTATTACCCTTTATACAATTATAAAAAATCTTTTTGATCACGATTTTTCTTTGGATTGTTAATTTTCAAAATCACTATAATATATGTCTCCTTATTTAAAATCAGATGAACTAATAAAGATGAAATTATATCTGATTACTTAAAATAAAAAGATCTAAAACATGTAAAATTAATTTTGTTATACTTTTTTTAACTATATCATAAACAATCGAGCAAAAAAAAACTCCTTCACTAACTGAAAATAATTATCTTTCCAAAACAAAAGTTTGCAAAAAAGTTTTTTGTAATTCAAGATTGAACTCTGTAAATATATATGTAATTTCCATTAGTAAAATTAATAATTATTGAAAGCCTAATAATTATTAAATTTTTAAATATTAAACAAAAAACAGTTAAACTCATTCCCAAAACAGCAACAATCTATTTAAGTGAAATATAAAAATTTGTTCATTTTTTTGAAAAAAATAATTAGAAACCCTTATTATTATTTTATCTTATTTTAATATGCTTTGCATTTGATTGTTAGATTATATTAAACAATTGTTATACACACATGCACACATATGCAAACTACCTATCACTATCAGAAGATGATAAAATTGGCCCTTTTTGGGCTATTATATTCCATTGTCCAAATGATATTCTTTCTTCTTTAGGTTTAGAAGCCATATTTTACTGCTAAAAATAAAGCTTAAATATAGTCAAATATATTTTACTAATCCAAATAACATTAATATTAACAAATATTATTTGCTTGAATATATATTAGCAATTACTATTTGCTTGTATATATACTAACAAACGTAATTTGCTTGTATATATCAGCAAATGTTATTTGCTTGTATATATGCTAATAAATGTTATTTGCTGGCATATAGATTAAAAAAGTGTTATTTGCTTATATATATATATATACTATCAAATGTTGTATGCATACTAACAATTGTGATTCGCTTGTGTATAGACTAACAAATTTTATCTGATATAGTAAAATATTTATGTTAATTGAAAAGTTAAATGTTTATTACAATAAACAAAAAAAGAACTGTTTAAAATTTGTTTAAAAAAATAACAAAAATAATTGATACATAGCAGTACATTTAAATAGTTTACTGATAAAAGACTTTTGTTTAACTGTAACTTAATTTAAAAATTAACACAGTTAATTTTCAAAATAAAATTTTTCAACTTACAATCAGAGATGTAGTCAAGACAGTAAAAGTCAAGACCAAGACTAAGAACAAGATATTTGGGCTCAAGACCAAGACAAAGATCAAGACCAAGATATCAATAAGTCAACCCAAGACTTAGACCAAGACAAAAGTTTTCACAAGAACAAGATCAAGATGTAGATTCTTATGAGTTCAACACAATAAGACTTATGCTTAAACATGTATGTATACTATTATACTTTTAGCTATGTATCATTTTACCATTTATGCACATTACTCTATAATAAAACGTAACTGCATATGTATAGTACAATATATATAACAAGAGTTATTGTGAACTGTGCAATGCACTGTTGCATTCTACAATAGATAACTTTAATAATAACAGAAAACTAACAAGTTTCTCGTATTGCTAAAAACAAAATGTACAATTAAAAATGACACATCATTACATTGTCAAATTAAAAATTGAGCACATATAGCAGACATGCAGTTTTTTTAGTAACTGTATATTTAGACAGACTATAGTTACGAAAAAAAAAATAAAGTTAAGTTTACATATTTTATTTAAGTACTTTATATATGTAAAACAGACAGCTATATAACTTGACTTCATAACTTATATAATTTGTTAATTTTAGTAGTAACAAGTTATTAGTAATTACTAAGTTATTCATTGTGTTGATATTTTTTTAAATAAAGATCAAGAAAGTACAAAATAGTAAAGGTCCAAGACTAAGACCAAGGCTAATACTCCAGGCTTTCAAGACCAAGACTACAAGCTTCAAGACCATGACCAAGATAGTTAAAAATGAGTTTCTGCCTACAATCAAAAGGCTCAAGGTCCAACACTATGCCTTTGGGAGTACCTGATTCTATGAACAACAGCCTTGTTTAACAAGATTATGTTTTGCATTAAAAGAATTAGTAGCCTCTATATCTTTAGTGGCCTATGGAGCTTTGAGTAGTGGGTGAGGGGAAGATTTTTGCATAACAGAACTCTCAAAAATACAATTTTTTCAAATGTACTTTTAAAAAAATACTTCTCTAACTTAAATACTTAAGAAAGTAAAGCAAATTTCTAAAATTTAAATTTACGTCAATTACTCAAATCATTGTGAGAAATTTCACTTTATTATAAGGTTATCTTGAAAATAATAACTCAATATTTCATGTTTATTTTGAATATAATCTAGAAAATCCAAATCTACTAAAATGATGCGCAATAGATCAAAGAGAAGACTGATAAACTAAAACAAGGCAGCTACCGCACAAACAACTACCATTATATATATATATATATATATATATATATATATATATATATATATATATATATATATATATATATATATTTATATATACACATATATTTATTCTGTAAGTGAAGAAAATTTTTGGATAAATTTATTTTAAATATTCCATTTATAGAAATTAGGTTTTAATTTGTAAGAGTAAGAATTTAAGTAGTATGTAGTAATAGTAATGGTAGAATCAGTACTTGAGTGTAACAGTAAGTAAGAATTTGAATTTTAAGTCTTACATAACTTGAATTATATTTTTACAATATATACATTATAAAAAAACATAAACTTAAATAAAACTTAAAATAAAACTTTTTTAAATAGAACTTAAAATAAAACTTTTTTCACGTTTTCTTTAAATATTGTGTATAATAAAATTCATTACTCAAATAAATTTATATATTTAAATAATTTTTAAAAAAGTCGCGCATAAATTAAATATTTGTTAGGATGAACCCATCAAAAAGAAATTAAATCTTCAATATTTTTATATTTCCAATTTGTTTCTTCTGCTTCTTCGAGAATCTTTTTCATTTTTTTAATTCTTTCTGATTTCATTTCACTCTTTAATGTTGTTATATGTGTTTCGACTTGTAACTCCACCTCAAGTTTTCGTAGAGCAATGTCAATCTCTTTTGTTTCCGCAGGAGAACTAAATGTCAAAACTTTTTGTGCCATTGTTTCTTCTTAAACTTACTTTTAATGCATTATAAGTATAATTACTTCACAACCACTTCACTCACGTGCTATTATGTCCTCTTTACCTAAGTCGGAAAAATACTTAGTTATACATAATTTTATTTATTTTAGTTCGTTAACATTCTTTAGGATGAGTCAAAATAAGACTTAAAAAAAATTGATTTTGAGTACTTGATAAACTGACCGGGAGTCTGCGTTTTATTAAAAAATCAATATCTAACTTAAGTTAGTACTTTTCATCATAAAGAACGTAAATCGTTTAACTATTGTGAATGATAAGGAACAACTAATTAAGTGCAAATTTCATTATTGCAAATCTTTTTATTATTATTTTTTATTCTGATGCACTTCCAACTAGTCTGCAAGCAAACACGATTAAGTATGGAGTTATTACAAGAAAAAAAAAAAAAAAAAGGAAACGGTTGACAGAAGACTTGAAAAGTTATTATGATATTAAAAAAGCAGCTGAAGAAGGAAAAAATAGACAGACTTTAGACTATATGAGATTTACAACCATAAAACAGACCAAAGAAAATGCTTCTTCTCCGAACACTTAATTAAGCCCTCCAGTAAGTTAACTGTTTTTTATATCATATTTTATTTCTTCTAACAACCTCTGGTATTATATTAATTACTCTGGTTGTTATTAATTTTTTCCATAAGGATCCCTCTTACAATGACCATGACTCCCAGTCAGTCCACAAGTGTCAAGAGGAACCAATGAGCTCTTCTTCTCTTTCAAGATCACCTGCTCCACTCAATATACGGAATTCAAAGGACTCAATGGGGACCTCAAGCAATTCACGTGAAGCTGAGCTAAATGGATTTCAAAGTGACTCATCAGAGTCAGAAGAAGGAACTTTATCCAACAGGGAAGGATGTGATGCTCAATCTGACTTGGTAATAATTAATGCTGACCATTCTTTGTGGCCAGTTTTTTTTGAGTAAAAAAGATCTAGGTGTTATCATTTTGAAGGGATCACCTTCACATTCTTTGAAGCAACGAGACTATCCCCTTAATTCTAAGAAGTAAACCTTTCCTTTGAATTTATTTAATCAACCTTTGCCTAATAAAAAAAAATTAGAAAGTGATTGTTTAGTTTGAAGCTCAACTTCCTAGGCTCTCTACTGAAAACACACGAGAATGTGAAAGCAAATGAAAACTATCTTGGCGGTATGAAGTTTATCGGTTGCCAAAACCCCGTCACTTTAAAGATGTAAGACGTATCAACAAGAAGGCCAAGAATGAGTGCCCATTACCTCTTTCTGTCGTCTCAAATTGAGTTTATCAGAGAATGTGGTAGTGTCATTCGAACTGCAGCTGTCAAAGAAATTCAGGATGGTATCTACTTCATCATCATAGTCTATGGTACTCCCGACATTTCTCACAATAAACAGATAACCTTTGTTTTCTTTTCTATAAAAGAGAAACTAATTGCTGGCAAATCAAAGAACGATTTTTGTGTATTGAAGCTTTCAAGGAGAAGAAAGGACTCAGTATACCTAAGCTCATTACTGATGTGATTGCAAGGCAAGATTTAGATACTCAAAACCTTTGCAGTCAAAAGAAAACGATTATGAATCTAATATGTCAGGTACATACAAGCGAGCTCAAGCCTTAATGAAACGAAATTATTTGGAAGTTATATACGTTCGCTGTAGCGCTGACAATCTGAATTTAGCTGGTGTGCATTAAGTTGAATCAGCGATTGAGATCAAAGTTTACTTTGGAAATGTCAAATCCTTGCACGTATTTTTTAGTGCCCGATGGAAGATCCTCACTGAAGCAGCAGGAATTTCAAAGTATAGACTTTCTTTAAAAAGATAGAGCTTTTGTACCAACTCGATCAAACCACTTTTCAAAAGGCTAAAAGAAATGTTGGCAGCTCTTAAATATGCATGGAAAACCTGAATCTGACTAGTGAGCAGCTCAGCCAAGCTATAGCCTTAAAAAATGTTCATCATTTTTGGAATTTGTGTTGCAAATTAAGATTTGTACAAAACCTTTACAGCTGTTAACGACGTTAGTCGTCTTCTACAATCTAAAGCCATTACCATCGATGATGAGCTACGTTTAATTGGACAACAGCTAGAAGATTTTACATAGAATTAGAGAATTTTGATAGAAAATTTTTCAAGAGGCTATAGCTGAACCACTAGGGTTCGAAACTGAACTCGCTACAAAAAGAAAGTGGAAACTAAAGCGCTTTCTCAATGAGGCATCAAACGCAGCCCATTTCCACAATAGCCAAACGAAAGAATTTCAAGTGAACGTTTTTAATATTGATTTAGATTGTCTGATCCAGCAGATTGATTCAAGATTTGAAGCGAGCAGGATGGTTGGCAAAATGTTTTCATTCATCTGGTTAAATAATGATGGTCTTTCCGTTTAAAATAAAGCTTGTGAACTTGCACGGTTTTATCCGAGAGATGTAATCAAAGAGGATCTCATTAAAGAAGTTTGCTGATTTAAAAATACCCTTAAAAAAATTTTTTAAGCAAAGAAATTCACTGCAGTAATTCAATAGAATCTTCGAAATCAAGGTTGAAGGCCTTTTTAATAGCTTTCTTTTAGTAGCGTACATTTGCATCATGCTCTGGATATTTATCACTATTCCTGTGTCAGTTGCTGAGGGTGAACGATTGTTTAGTAAACTGAAGATTGTAAAAAACTCTCTCTGTTCAACCATTGGCCAAGGTTGCGTAAATGATCTTTTGACTGAAGAAAATTTATCTGAGAAGGTAAGCTACGACAATATCATCAATGTTTGGGCACCCAGAAAAGCTAGAAAAATTCATTTTTCAGGGCCGACGGTGTCGGTTTTTGGCGTTAGAAATAGCTAACTTCCAGAAATTGTGCGAACTCCAAACATTTATATGTTTATACTTATGTCAAATAAAAATGCTTTGCAAAAATTTGCAATGATTGGAGCCTGGGAACAAAAAAGCTCCAAAACTTGTACCACCCCCCAACCCCAAACGTGAGAGCAACCAGTTTATAAAATATTTTTTGTACTATTCTTAACTAGACTAATATTAATAGATAATTTTTAAATTTCATATTAAAATATTTTAGCGTTCAAAAATTATGACAATGTAAAGTTTAAGCCCCCCTCAATTTGAGGGGGTTACAAATTTTATATGGTCATAATTTTTAAACGCTAAGAGATAATACAATGAAACTTAAAATTTATTGATAAATATTAGTTTAGTTAAGAATAATACAAAAAATATTTTATCACCTGGTTGCTCTCACATTTGGGGCTGGGGGGGGAGCACAAGTTTTGGGGTTTTTTTTTCCCAGGCTCCAATCATCGCAATTTTTTTGCAAAGCATCCTTATTTAACATAAGTATAAACATATAAATGTTTGGAATTTGCACAATGTCTAGAAGTTAGCTATTTTTAACGCCAAAAACGGCACCGTCGGCCCTGTTTTTAGCGACTTATTTACCTTTCTCGAGAATTTTGTTGATTGATTTTTCGTTTATTGATTTTAAAACTAATATTTTGGTTCATATGTCAGTTTTGATTAATAAACCGTTTCTCATTCCAGAGAATTAATAGTAACGCAGAAATACTATGTGATATATCAGAAATAGATAATTGCTGTGTTCACAAAACTTTAAATTTTGTAATTTCTTGGTTTAAAATATCTCAACTTTACTAAAAAAAAAGTTAGAATCTTATTGTTGTAACAGTTATGCTTAAAATTGTGAAGCAGTTTACGGATAACTATTACGGATAACTCTCATATTTGTGAAATACCGTAGAATATACAGTGTTTCACAAACGTAGGAGCTGTAAACAAGTGTTTATTAAGACGAAATTAATGCTTTAAATTACTTTGATAGGTCTTTAAAATGAAAATAGGTTTCAAGCTTAAAAGGAATCATTTTCCAATGCAAATGGAAATTAGCCTATTACAACTTTTATATTTAATCGAACAGCTTCTTTTACTTCAATAGTTAAAACTTTATGCAAGCAGACAGTCTTGAAAATTGTTGTCTTTAAATAAGTTTCAATATTAAAAACTTTCCCACCTCCAACCACCTAAACCACGAATCCTCAAGTATCATCATCTCATCGCTACAAAACTCAAAAAAGTTATAACATGGAAATATTAAACGCTTAGAATTTAATAAATTAAATTTATTTTTAATAATTGTTCCTAATTTTTTTAATCTTATATTCTTTATAACCCAAAAGAAAAAATATGTCAACATGGTGTCAAAATTTTAAAAGTTTATAAAATTTGTAAAAACTTTAAAGTTTTGTCTAAAAATGAACTTAAAGCCGAATATTATAAACTCAGAACTGACTAAAAAAGAAATTAATTTTTTCAGCAAAGGACTCTGTAAACATCTGAATTGAAATTCCTTTTAATTTTATTTGAATCAAAAAAAAAGTCAGCATTTTTAAGCAACCTTGGTGCAGTGTTTAAATTGCTCCCACACAACACCTACTCGCGCCAGCCCTGAGCACATCCTCAAAATATTTTTGTGAAGGGTTCTTAGACAAGGAGAAGGACAAAAAAAAGACAAAAACTCTTTTTGTTCTTCTTCTTGTCTAAAAACCCTTCACAAAAATTTCGTACATGTTTTTGACTTATCTTTATTTATTCTTTATTTAGTTTTTTAAGGTATTGTTTGCTATGTGTAGTTTTTTAAGGTATTGTATGTATATAAGTTTTCATATAATATATTGTATTGTATATAAGTTTTATTGCTTATATAGTTTCTTAAGGTGTTGTTTATTGGTAAGATATATGTTGGTTTCATCTAAAGTATTTCCGTTTCTTATCATAGTTATTGTGATCTAATACCATAGTGATGATGATCTGACGTACCATATCCATTTATTTTCCATAATTTTGATTATTATTTTATCATAATAGAATAGTAAAAATAAAATAAAAAAATGATAGAAAATTATTCAAAAACTAAAATAATTATATTTTTCCAATCAAAATATTTTTAACTGGAAAATCTGATAAAAGCTAAATTTCTTGAAGCACAACCAAATCAACTAAAAAACAACCATTTGTAATAATACATCGAAATTTTTACTGTATTTGTAATAATACTTCTAAATTTCTATGTGTATTTTATAAAATAAATTGATTTATTATACTCGGAAAAACACTTTCTGCTTCTAATAATTTCAAATATATCATACTAGTGTTATTACTACATCCAAGTTAAATATGCCATATAAGTATTATTGTTACATCTAAGTATGTTGAATTATTTACTTTTATTATAAAATTTTATTTATGGCGGAAGTTTAACCTATTTGTAAACACCAGCACAAGGTCTTGCAATGTCTACAATGCCGGTGTTTTTCAATCTCAGGAGTTGGGAATCAAAATCGATCAATCGTAGTATCCCGGGATTGATCCTAGATTATACAAAGATATAATATATTTTTTACATTATACTATCAAAAATAAAAAAAATCACTTTAAAACAAAAACATTCTTGTTAAAGTCAAAATAAGAAATAAACAAGAAATTCATATTAGATACAAAGAAATAAGTTATGATTTTTTTGTGTTTTGAAATATGACTCAGGAAGCACAACTTTCTATTTTAAAACTTTTTAATACTTAAACCATTTTTAATGGACTCAGGCACCACGTCTAAACTTAGACGGAGCTTTGACAATTACGCAGGCAGAAAGTCCACTCAACTTTTTTGTGCTATTATAGGCATATTTTAATTTGGTAAGCATAAAATTAATAGGTTTTACTGTTGATTTTATGAGAAACTTAATGTATTTGGAAAACATCTGAGGCTGTGTAAATACCAATTAATGCTATAATTTTTTTATTTGGTAAAATTTTTTTATTATGGATAGAAGGCTGCTCTTCCTTGTTTTGCAGTCCACTATTAATAATATTTGTTTCCCAAATTCAGCTTCTACTTCTAGTTTTGTAGGATGCCATTTTTGGTAGATAATCGTCGAATCATTATTACCACTTTGCGTACCTTTTCGATGACTGGTAATGGTTTTCAATTAGTTCGCTTTGAGTTCTTATAATTTTATCCTTGTTGTAAAGTTAACCTTCATCGGTTTTTGCTTCTATAAACATACTACTGTCAGAAAATTCATTATACTTCATATTCCTATTTTATTAAAAACCTGAATTATTGCAAGTTTTATATCATGGGGAAAACATAATTGTTGATTAAGAACATAACAAACATAACAGCAACCGTTCAACTTTTTTCATAACACTAACTCTATTGGTCATTATAACTACAATATCGTTGTATAAATCAAAACTATGGGTTTTTTTTTTTTTCAAATAGTTCTATGTAATTTTCTGCAGGCATTGAACTTGTTACTTGAATTATACTTAAATTCTAGAACTGAGAATATTGTTGTGAACATTAATGTTCATATAATAATGATTTAAAATTGACGTTTATTTGTTAAAAAAACAAAAAAACCTGTCACCTACCCCAAACACTGTTTTCTTATGCTGTGCTCTACTATATGGTTAAGAATTGTGTTTACTGACGTATACGTCAGTAAACACGGGGTTCAGAAATCTTCCTATTGGCAGATTTCTGAATCCCATGGCTTTTAGTCCGGTATTTTAAACTGTTGCAAATCAAATTTGATAAAGACCGTAAAGACCGCTGTTAGGCGTTTATAAAGTATTTATAAAAACAAGTAGAGGGTTAAAAAAACATACGGATGACTGAAGTCACCATAATCTTTTAAAAAAGCTTCTATGTAGACTTGAAAATATAAATTATGTAGATATGACAAGTTCAAATGTGCTGAATTTTTTTATTGTTATGCATAATTTGTTGCCAATTTTTACACATTATTCATTATATTTTGTTGTCTTCGATCTTACAGAGAATCCGAGTATTGAAATTGAACATTACCTGGATTTTGAGTTTATAGAAATATAGGTTTACGGGATCGCAAGCACTCACCAACACAAAACTAATACAAAGCTATAAGAAATTTTATTTAGCATATCATCGTAGCAGTCATTTATTAACTAATACCTTAACTGAAATAGTTTAATAGTTACTTATGCAAAGATCTGGAAATAAATAACTTGAGGTTGTTCTTTTGCCTATTCACTTTTACACTAAGTACAAAATTTAACCAAAATTTTACGATTACATTTAATTACAATAAACTTATAAGTTTAAAATAATTTTATTACTTTAAAAGTTTTTTTCCAAATAAAATTTGTCCCGCATTTCACTTTATGTGCATTATTCATAGTATATTACAACTAACGGTTGTTTATTAAATATATTCTTTGTCGAAGTTTTGAATTTTCGATTTTTTTATTTTGAAATTTCGAATTTTCGATAAAGATTTAATCATCGCAGGTTGGGATCCATTAAAAACTTTCTAGCAAATTTAGCACGTTCATTTTCTAACAATAGTTTTATTGTCTTGTGCATGTCCAGTAATTGTTGCTAAAATAAAATGAAAAATGTAAGCAATAGGGTAAAGCGGAATATATCGGGACAGTGAGGGAGAAGTGGGACAGTTATGCCTGAAGCCTAATATCCTAGCTAAAAATAATTTTTTTTTTAAAATAAAAAAACAACTTAATTTCAAAAATAATTTTTACAATAATTTAAAAAACTTTTTAAATTATTGTAAAAAACAAAGTTTAATTTTAGGGGAACCAAAATGAACTAAAAGTAAATGTATCAGTAAGTTCGCGAAGAACCAAATTTTTACATTTTCTTAAGCGATACAATAACAAAAAGTTTATCTTGAGTTTTATCTAATGTTTATAAAAAGTTTAGATTTTTCAGACATCTTTTATTCTTGTTTAGAATCTGGATTAAAATAAATCCTTGGTGTTGAATAGTATTAATTTATAAATAGTATTAATTTTAGTAAAATGAATTTTGTGGGACATATCGGGACAATAAGTCTACACAGTGGCGGATTAAGACTTCTTGGGGCCCGGGGCTATTTTTGTTTTTGGAGGCCCCTAAATTTGCGGGGCCCGGGGCTATAGCCTCCCTAGCCCCCTTGATCCGGCACTGAGTCTCCATACCCAAGTTGAAACCAACAAAAAGAAACAGCAAAGAATCTGTAAACGCTACAAGTTCTCTTTAAGATAAAAATAAAAAAGTTATTCAAAAGAAATTTTAAAACTAAGTACAAAAAAGTTATCTCTAGTCTCTTCCAAAAAAAAAGTAGCTGTTAAAACTCTTCTACTCATGGTGAGAATATTTTAACAGAATATAGTAAATGTTTCGTTTGTGATTGGTGGTAGGGGAAAGCGGGGCAACGTGGCAAATGGGGCAAGATGGGTTTTCATATAACAACTCAACAAAAAATCCAAAATCGGGTGAAAACGAAACTGTATTTGCATCTTTTATTTTAAAACACCAATTGGTTTTTTAAAACACCAAATTGGTTCTTTTTTTTTAAATATTATTAACGCAATATTATACCCATAAGTTTACTTTTTGCGCTTAAAAAAAAATTCCTCAATTTCTGTTTCTTATAATGGATGGTGTCCTTCAAGTTTAACTTCTTTAGAAGAAGTTTTTTGCGACTTGTGTTTATTTTGTGTTACTTTAGTTAGAGTTATTTATAGTTTTTTGAATTTTATAAATATGGAGGCAAAAATTGCATAATAAGTCATCTTGCCCCGGTGACCAAATGACAAATTTATGAACTTTTTATTTAAATATTTATATTAAATTGTTATATTTGCAAACAGAAAATTCATGCAGGCAATGAATTATTTTAATAACATAAACATGAGAAAATATTATTGCTTTACGACTGATAGGTTGCAATAACTTAGGGCTTTCAAAACTTCGCCATGTTGCCCCGCTTTTTTCTATATGGTGTGTAGTTTAATGTCTGAACATGTTTAAATGAACATGTTTAAATGATCATGTTTAAATGAACATGTTTAAATGATCATGTTTAAATGAACATGCTTAAATGATCATGTTTAAATGAACATGCTTAAATGATCATGTTTAAATGAACATGCTTAAATGATCATGTTTAAATGAACATGCTTAAATGATCATGTTTAAATGAACATGCTTAAATGATCATGTTTAAATGAACATGCTTAAATGATCATGTTTAAATGAACATGCTTAAATGATCATGTTTAAATGATAGATAATTTGCATTTTTTCTTTTTTAAAGCTTTACAATCAACAAATAGCTACTACTCTTTCCGTTTTTCTACTCACTCTCACCCAGTTGCAAAGTATGAAAAATTTGCTACTCTAGTTTATTTCAAGAAATCGCTTTTTAGTTATTTCGTTTTTTTTTATATCAATGAACTTTAAGAAATCTATAAAAAGTTGCGTTACTTACGATCAGTTTATCCGCAAATAGCATTTGTTTCTTAAGTATCCCCATATGTCCCCCAAAGAGTTATAATATAGCTAGTCTATTATATCTCGTCGATGCCCCGCTCTACCCTAAATATAAAAAAGATTATGTATTTCGATTTTAAAAACAAGTCAAACAAAGACAAAAGTCTAACCCTGGTTTTTTGAGCTGAATTGAAGTCGACCATACTTTGCAAATTGTCTCTACAAAAAAAGAAAAAGTTTTATTAGTTTTATCTTAAGAACAAATTATGCTAACTATGTTATAAACTATTTGTAATTTAATATCATAATTTAATTTTTACAGTCAGTGCCGTGGCTAGTGGGTTGGAGGCCCTTTCCAATAATTTTGTAATAACTTTATTAAACGGTTTTAATAAATCTTGCAGAACATATTTAATACATGAAACTAGCATCTTGTAGAATATATTTGAGAAGATTTCTTTCAAAATTGGGATTTTAAATGAGCCATACTCAAAAACGTCAGTAACCATTAAATATCATATGCTTATTTTTTAATAAAATGGGAAACTAGATTGTACCTATTGGTGTTATAGTTACATAAAAATAATTAAATATTAGATGCATTGATTGATGAAATTATTATTTTTTTTACCTACCTAAGGTTTAACAGTGCAATGCTTCTAAAACAAATATTTTATGTTGAATTCACATTTTATAGAACTCACCTATATATTTTATAGAATTCACCTTGAAAATTAATATTATGTTTTATTATGAAAAGGAAAAGAATTGTTTTTAAATTTTGAGATATGCAGCAACGATTATTTTTAGATTATCACGTCATAAATACATTATACTACTAGGTGTAGTTAAGGTAATGTTAATTTTTAATAATTATAGCGTCTGTATAATATTTTGCTGACTACAACATATTTCCGTTAAATGATCAGTTCTGTGAATCATGAAAAGACGATAAAAAATTAAAATGATAAATTTTGCCGCAAGATAAAATAAAAATGTTTGTAGCGAATAAACCAAGACCGAAGATTCTTTTTTTGTTTTGTTTTTTTCTTCTTAAAGCTTGTTCAAATTTGTATAAGATTTTAAGTAAATACGCTTTTTAGAAAATTTTGGGGCTTTTTTGTTCCCAACCACCAATCATCGCATTTTTTTGCAAACCCTCATTATTTAACATAAATACAAACATATAAATGCTTGGAGTTTACTCCATGTCTGGAAGTTAGCTGCTGGATCCGCCCCTGATCTATAGCAGATTAAGGCATTTTTTCAAAAATTTTCAACAAAAATTAAGTTAACGCTGTTGAACGGAATTGATCTAAAGACTCAAAAATGGTGTTCTTTAAATTCACAATTAGAGTTAATATAAAAGTTTTGAAAAATATATAAAAAAAGAGAAAAGTTTCTTTAAACATTATAAAAGCTTGATGCAATAAAAATTATAGCATCTAAAGCTCTTGTTTGGATATAATACGCTGACAAAATCATGCTAATTCAAAATAATAGAATTCAATTAACTTATAAATCGCCTTAACTACACCGAGTATGTAGATTGTCATTCGATATCAAAAAATAGTTTTGCGCTTATTTTCGACAACTCAGAAGTAAATAAAAAATGATTATATGCAAATTCAAACACAAACGAATGTTATTAACAGTGACGTAGTTGGTCTTTACAAAGGAGGTTTAATTATATTATATATAACTATTATCTAATATATTATATATAATATATTAACTTATTATACAAACTGATGATCAAGGCAAAGAATTAAAAACTAAAACATAAAAACTAAAATTTTTGTTTGAAACTAAAATTTTTGTTTGAAAAAAATATGGGTGATCAAGTTAGACAAAAAAAGTTGAAAAGAAATCGAAAGCAGAATTTAGAAAAAATAGTAGAAAAGAATCCTGATTTAAAAATGGAACTAAAAATGTGAAAATCAGTTAGCGAGCCACGTTTTAAAAAGAATCAAGCTTTTCAAATAAAAATTATTGTTGCCATAGCAATCCATGGCTTTTTTTACTCAATAGAGCCAAAAATGGCTCTATTGAGTAGAGAGCTTTCTGGCTTAATTTTGTCCCATGACCATTTAAGTAGTCATCTTAACCTGGTAAAATTAATAAAAATTATTGTGGAGCTAAAAAAGAAAAATTTTCTGTTTGCTGGTAAAATTCTTTCCAAAAAAAATCTGAATAGATGGGTCCAGATTATTTTGAGCTGAATCAAGAAGATTTTTGAATAAAAGCAAAGATAATAAATTTTCGCCAATCATATCAATACTTTACACAAGTTGTAAAGTGTCAAAGTTGTTGCTTTGAACCAAGGAACTCATATTTTTCTGTTATTCCATCTTGATTTCTTCCAGCAATTCCATTACCACATACTACATGCATACTCAAGACGTCACTACAAGAAGATTCTCATAATCATAAGCTCCAATCTGCTTTCCTGTCTCTATGTATAGAGTGTGAGAAAATTTTACCAGCAAGCATTAGTAAAAAACTCAGATATTACTATAGGGTTTGTTTTGCTCTTCAGTTTAATCCGAGTTATATAACATAATGAGATGAGTCTGATTTATCTATCTTAAATCAAAAGTCATGCTTCACAAGCATTCAGTTGTGTATAGAAAATCTTGTTATGCTGTTGAAAAAAGCCTTGTACAAATTGTCTGGGTAGTTGTTTGAAGGCATAAGGAATTGATGATTATTATTGCTTCTGAAGAAAATAGACTAAAGCAAGTAGAATGAATGGAAGAAAAAGATTTGAAACAAACCAGAAGCTCAATTATATATTATATATTATTATCAAATATTATCATATTATTATTATTAAATATATTATTAAGTATTATCATATTATTATTATCAAAAATATTATATTATTAAATATTATTTATTATTATTGCATATTATCAAAGTGGCTTTCACTTCAGTATATACCCAGCCGGCGCACTATTCATCACTAAGCGGAAATAGGTTTTTACCTACTTTTCTTTTTTTTCCAATTTTAATTTTTTTAATATTTTGCTATGTAAATAGGTTAGAGTAGTTCCTAATTAAAATAGGTTAGAGTAGTTCCTAATTAAAAGAAGATTATTTTTTCAATATTTCTTTTTTAAGAGGGGAAATTTTAGTGTCAAAAAAACGCTTTTGAATTTTTTTATGATAAAAATCAAACTTTTGCATTATACTTATAATTATTAATTATAATTATTATTATTATTATTATTATTATTATTATTATCATTATTATTATTATTATGATATAATAATAATAATAGTAATAATAATATTTATTTGCATTAAAAAAAAAAATATTAAAATACAAAAGGGTGAGACAGGTAATCGCAAGATTACGCTTATGTAACACCTGAACAAAGGCAATTTAATACAATATGCAACTTTGTTGTAAGTCGTAAGTTCAGTTTTTTTTTTGAATATGAGTAATGAAGATGAATCGACAATATGAGCAGGCAATGAATTACATATTTTTACAATTCTTTCACTGAAAAAAAATCTACGTGTATCGTTAGTACATTTATTGCGTGAAACTAATTTTTTCGCATGACTTCTAGTGGGGTAATGAGAATTGGAAAATGTAAAAAAATCGGGGAAAAAGGAAGGTCTACAAGATTGTTTTTAATTTTTTAGGTCATAAAAAGATCGAATTTGACTCTGCAGTGTTTAAGAGAATCGAATTTTCAAATAGATTGTCTCGATGCGTAATCAGTGTAAGAAATGTGGCATCTTTTACAGGTAATTCTGCTGAAGTATCTTTAGACGTTTTTGATGCAACATATATCTTTAAGAAGGTAAGGACTCCACACTGGGGTGCAAGATTCTAAGATTGGACGCACATAGACCTTGTAGGCTTTTAAGAGGAGATTTGAATCATTACTGATAAAGGTTTTGAAAAGTAAATATAGTTGGGCGTAAGCTTTTTTGGCAATACAAGAACAGTGTTTGGAAAATTTTGTGTCAGAAGATACCGCAATACCAATATCTTCAATACAGTTAACAGTCGTTATCGGGGTGTCCAGGCAAAACGAATACAAATGAACAAAGACTTACTTCCAAAACATAAGTGGAAACATTTTTTGAATGCTATTTTTTGTTGCCAGTAAGCTGTCCAATCAGAGAACTTTTTTAATGATATTTTAAGGTCAGCATTGTTATTTTCGTCTCTCGTTTGGTACAATTTGCTATCGTCAGCAAACAGCTTTATTTGACAATCACCTTCAATACAAGGAACTACATCATTAATAAATAATAAGAATAAGTCGGAGAATAAGTTGGAGCCAACACAGTTCCTTGGGGTATTCCACTCTTTACAGGTACGTAGTTTGAGTAAAAATTACCAATGCAAACACATTGGGATCGGTCAGTTAAAAAGTTGGTAATCCAATTTAGAAGTTCGTACTTAATGCCGTAACAATTCAGTTTGTACACTAACTTAGAGTGCGATACAGAGTAGAATGCCTTTTCGAAGTCAATATAGATAATATCAACTTCCTTTTTCTTGTTAACAGCTGAGGTCCATTCATTAAGAGAAGCTAACATTTGTGTACATGTAGATCTACGCTTTAAGAACCCAAATTGGTGAATAGAGATAAAGTTATTAAGTTGAAGGTACCTTTTAAACTATTACCAATAATTGACTCTATAACTTTACAACTAATACAAGTCATTGAAATAGGTCTGTAGTTCGTAGAGAAAAAGGTACATTTTTTCTTGTTTTTTTTTAGTCCACAAAGATTAATGGATTAACAGAGGTTCATAGGTAGCCAGTTTTTTATTTGATACATATTGACTTTTTATAGGTAAAAAAAAAAAATATTCTGGTTACTCTGTAGTAAAACACATCAATTCATTTTTTTATTTATAGTTATAAAAACAAAATGATATAATAAGTAAACATGCTTTAATGCTCAATAAAAAAAACTATCGATTTACTACTTTTTATAACCGGCAAAATAAATTAATCCAGAAAAGTCTAAAAAAAATTCCACTTTTTAGATATTTGAATTTTTTTTTAACTATGCACAAAAATAAATATATGATGTTCTGTGTAAAAATTATTTCAAAAATGGTTCTCGGATTATTAAGCTATTTCCTTTTTTAGTAAGAATGTGTTGCTTAGCCACATTCCTACTTTTCCTTCCTAATTTTTAGTTTCTAACACATGTAATAAATTGTTTTGTTGTGTATGACTAACTTATGACAAAAAAGAAAAAGTTGCTTTTATTAAAAAATTGTCGTTTTAAAACTACCATTTTTTAGTTTGAGGAGAAATAATGAAAAATCGCATAAATTAGATCATCAACAGTTTAGGAATGTTCAAGATAAATTATGTCTTGAGCATTCCTAAAAATTTATAACGTAAAAATTATGATTATATGTTTACATAAAAACATATAGTGTAAGATCAAATTTAATAGTAAAGAAATATTAAACAATGATACATTAGTAGCAGATAAAAAGCTGTCAAGCATTAAAATCATTCAGATATTGAATGATTAAGTGCGTTATTTACTAGTTTACATTTGAATGAGGAATTCAATGTTCTTAACATTTATAGAATTACACTGAATCATTTCATCTTTATGATGAAGAAAGTATTTATATCAAAATTAATATTTTGTTATTAAATTAAAGATGAATCACTATTATTGGTAAAAAGGTAACAATTAAGTTTTCAAAAAAGCTTGCCCAATAGAATGTTTTAATATAGATTACCATGTTAAGAAATCAGTGAACTGCTAAAGCTTTTGGATAATGGAAGATTCAACAAAGAAGATATTAGATTTTCACACCTTATTAAACATTTTTTAAAAGCTGTAAAAACTTTATGTTAGGAAAGTGAACTTTTTCAAAAATATAGAAAATAAAATAAAGAAGTAAACAATATTTACAGCTTACTTCACATAAAACATTGTTAATGATGTATAATGATTATTTAATGATTTAATGATGTATAATGTATAATTGTTAATGATTTTTCAGGTATAATCATTCATTAACCATTCATTAACCATTCCTTAACCATTCCTTAACCATTCATTAACCATTCCTTAAAAGTAAAACCGATATTTATAAAAAAATGTACGCAGTAAGGCATGGCTTCCATTTAGTATCTTTTTATTCAATCACCTTTTTCCTTTGTTTTTTATAACTTTCTTTCTTCCCAACACAGTACATTTTTTGATATTATTTCTGATAAAATTAACCAAACCTTTTTTCTTTACCATTCAGTCAACATTGTTTTAATTAGTAACTTTAATGCTTATCATACTGAATGGCTCTAAACCTCTAATTTACTGAATCTCTTTTGGTTCGCCACTAACTTGAAGTAAAGTTGGCAGTAAAACTTAACAGTAAAGTAAAAACTTTTGTATTTTTCAATCTTTTACTCAAACAGTTATCACAAATACTTTGTGACTCGTTTTTAAAATAAGCCTAATCAGAAACTTTCACTCCTTGATTTTTTCAAGCTAGGGTCTGAGACATGATGTCTCAGACCCTAGCTTGTATTCAGTTTCTATTGTTCCCTTTATTCTGTGTGGTTCAGAATGGAAGTAATAATTAAATAATAATAATAAACAGAAGTAAATTAACCACAGACCCCAGGAGGGTTCTAGATCCCAGGAGCCCAACAATTATTTTTACAAATGTTTGAAAATCAAACTTGCAAAAAAAAAAAAAAAAAAAATTTAATCAATAAAATAATTCAAAACATGAAGCTGACCTAAAGTACAATAACAAATACACAAGAGCAAAACATAATTTAAATTTAATTTTTAAAGTTAACTTATTTAAAGACATTATAATGTTACACATTCTAAGATATAATCTTCATTTTTTATCTTTGGCATACTTACAATCTTTGTCATTTATCTTTGGCATACTTACAATCTTTGTCATTTATCTTTAGCATACTTACAATCTTTGTCATTTATCTTTGGCATACTTACAATCTTTTTCATTTATCAGTAATATTATAGGTATATATATATAATTTTTGAATTCTATTTTTACATTTGTTATACTTTTTATTATATTCTACTTTTGTCATTACTTTAGTATTTACTTTGTTATTTACAAGTGCTAGAGTTTAAAATTCTAATTAAAATTCAAATGTGAACACGTTTATTCATAAAGCTTTTTAAGTTGCTTTTTATTCAACATTTAAATTCATTTGTACATAATGTATTCTAATTTACAAAACATTTACAATCTTGATTCTTTGCATATCTAATAGTTTATTTAAATCAATCAATTTTAAAAATAAAACTCAAAAAGCAAACAGAAAAAAATGGTTTCTTACCTTTTTTGTTTAAGAAACTCTATATTTCTTTGTATAGATAAGTAGTTTTCCAATTCCTATTAAATATATATATATATATATACATATATATATATATATATATATATATATATATATATATATATATATATATATATATATATATATATATATATATATATATATATATATATATATATATATATATATATTAGGGAAGGGAATTTTTTTTTTGAAGTAATGACCCTAAACTATCGGTGGAGTAATTACCTAAAACTCACAAAAACATAAAAATAACTATATAAATGCAAAAAACCCTCTGCCCAAATCCATTTTAAAGTGTCTTCAAAAGTTTAAAAATTTGCTTAAATAACTCATATTGTTTATTAAACAATATAATAGTTAAACAATGTTTAACTATTATATATTGTATATATTTAAATATGGTCTGTATTTTAGATGCATAAGATATCAGAAAATAATTCAATTGAACAAAATGATCACCCTTCCAATATTTTAAAGCCAAGAAATTGTATATATGGAAATTTGATTGAGAAGTCACTGATGGATTTTTCAAAATTATGTAAGACAAGGCAGATATTAGAAAGATATCATTTCCTTTTAGAATTAGGTAACATTCCAAGATCAAGTGACATTATTAAAAAAAATCTTAATTGAAGTTTGTCAATTATGGAATAAAATAACGATACCATGTTTTACGAAAAATCTGTGCAAAGAAAAGTAAAGTCTGCTTTTCAAAATTATAAATTTGTTATCATATCTTCACAAAGTACAAATAAAAAGACAATTATTATAAATAGCTGGGATAAATTATTTGACTTATTTCCAAAAATGCTAAATTTAAAAATCTGAAAGACAAACTCTTTTATGAATTTCAGAAATCTTCCAATGGGTGCAAAGGTCAGTGCAGAATTGTGACAGAGCCTATTACAACACATACTACTAGAATTCTCTGCCATGAGATCTGCCACCTAAAAAAAAAAGAACTTGAAACAAATTATAGTCAATTGTTACACGATACAGAAAATTCTAGTAGTGAAAGTTAAGAAGATAAAAATACAAGTGATGATTACACAATCCCATTGTAACATGCAAAGATCGCCGGTAAAATGGTAGCTAAGATCTAAAGGTATCTGAAAATGAAGGGTATCCAGTAAGTTGTACGGCAAAAATTGCAGAAACTGTACTGTACTGTAATGTCATTGGTGAGACATTGATTTGCAGATCGGCAGTCCAAAAGCATCTACAGCACTCATGCATAAATTAAGCTTAATTCAGTCTTATATAGACTTTGAAAAAATGTGGTGCTTACATTTTGATGGTAAGAGCATAGACAAACAACATTATTATAGCACTTTGAGCATTTTGCATATAGCATATAGCACTTGCATTTTGAGCAAGTCTAAATCTTTGGTAATATCTTTGAAAAAATTAGAGAAAGGCAACTCTGTTTCCATTTATACCATGTTATACAATATTATTTTGGAATTTAATCTATAAAAATAAAATTTTCTTTGTAATATGTAACACCACTGCAGTAAATACAGGTTCTAAAAACAAAGTAATTAAGTGTTTGACAAAAATTATTCCAGGTTTAGTGTACCATCCTTGTCGACTTCATGTTCTCGACCTGATTCTTTTTATGAACTCAAAGTTTGATTCCTTATTAACATCCCCTAATATTAATTACTGGTTCATTAATGAGTTGATTAGTAACAAACTAATAAGTTGATTAGTAACCATGATTTAATTGAAAAATACAAGCCTAACGGGCCAGTTATTAAAAGTAAAAAATATGGCAGGAATGATTATACGGAGCTGGATTTGTTATGTAAAGGATACAAGTCTTATCAAGACACAATCAATTTACCTGCAACTCATTTTTCTAAACCAGGACTTATTTTAAATGTATGATGGAATTCAAGAGCTATCTATAGCTTGAAATATATGCTTTTGACTCAATAATAAAAATAAAAGAATCAATAATAGAGGTGTGCAATCTTATTGTAGATCACTAATGACACTGGGCTAAGCCATGGTTCTCTTGCAGAAGAAATGTTGACAATATAACGAAGTTAAAATTGGCATTAACTCATAATTGCCTGGAGTGTTCGAAAAAACACTGTGATATAAGGAACTATTTTCCATTAGACATTGATTACACAAATGAAGTGTGTGAAAGATCTCTTGCTAAAGTAAAATGATTTCTTCAAAGAAACGTCATCAATTTAAAGGCCAAATTTCTGAGACACTGTAATAAACTTTAATCTGCCTATGTGTGTTATTGTAATAGAATAATTTATTGTTTGAACTATATTTACTTCCATGACGCAATTTTCAAAAACTTTAACTAAAAATTTCAAAAAAAACTCAACAAACATTATCTTTACCCCAAGTTGCATAAATTTTTATGCCTAGTTTGTAAGCATGGAGGCTAGCCACGGTAGACAATTTGCAGGACCTGTGAATTTAGGGGCGTTTTTCAAATTTAGGGGCGTTTTTCAAATTTAGGGGTTCTTTTCCAAATATAAGGAATTTTTTTTTAGAAATACACCTAATAATGGAGGGTTTTTAAGATTTTAACACTCTAATGACAAGTTTGAGGGAAGGGGCTCTGACCCTCTAATCACAACACTGTTTGCAAGGTATTTTCATCCTTATGCAAATTTGTTACTTTGTTTTTTTAATTAATATTTTAGTTTATAAAAGTCATTCCTTTTAAAAACAAGACTTTTCAATCTGTCGCAACTTGATTTAATAACTTGATTTTTGACAAATTTTATCATTTCAAAAATCTGAGTTTGCGCAGAAGGTTTTTGAATCTGTTACGGTTAAAACTATTTTTAAAATACTTTTTACAACATTTCTCCACCAGTAGTAATAGGGCAAATTGATTTTAAGAAAAAAATGTAAAAAATTCCCACCCCTAATATATATATATATATATATATATATATATATATATATATATATATATATATATATATATATATATATATATATATATATATATATATATATATATATATATATATATATATATATATTTATATATATATATATATATAAATATATATATATATATATATATATTTTATAGCTTATACAAATAAGTTATACTTCCATATAATTCTTATATATTTGGATAGATTCTGGATCTTGCAATGGTTTCATTGGCATCAAATCAGGTGGAATCAAAATAAATTGGCTTTGACTAGGACGCAAATCTAGGATGAGACACATTATAATGAAAGTAAAACAAATGAAAAAAATCAAAAAAAAATCAAAAAAAAAAGAAACCTTAATCTGAGGTTAATAACTAAATATAGCACGAAAAATAACAACAGTAAAATAAAATGGGGTCAAATGAAGTAGTTTAGATCATTTTTTTTTACAGGAAAAAGATTTTTTTAACAGTGTGTAGCATTTTGAGCTGCATTATACAAATCAAATAAACTTGTTTTTAGTTTTGTAAACTTTAATTATTAAAAAAAAAAAATTCATTTTATGCTTACATTTTGGGAGAATGAAATATGCAAGTCAATAAGAAATTTTTTTCATGTTAATTTATCTACCCTAGACCGAGAAGGCCATTAGAGGCAAAGAGGCTACTAAATTGAGGTAACAATTCTCTCTCAACTCTATAACTCTGAAATAAGAACCATGACAAACTGCAAGCCTGATGAATGGGCTGCTGTGTGAAAAAATAAGTTAGGCCCAGTACTACCAGGGGGGTGGTGGGGATTGAACCGAAATTTCTTGCTTATAAAACAAATGCTCTACCACTACCACATTAGTTGACTGCAAGGTAATTATGAGAACACTTAATTGACTGCAAGGTAATTATGAGAACACTTAATTGACTGCAAGGTAATTATGAGAACACTTAATTGACTGCAAGGTAATTATGAGAACATTTAATTGACTGCAAGGTAATTATGAGAACACTTAATTGACTGCAAGGTAATTATGAGAACACTTAATTAAAAAAGTATTCAATGATAATAGTTAAAAAAACAACCAACAATATCAATTAAATAAAAACAATTTATGAAAAAAAATTTGTAATGGTGGGAATGTACATGCCAGTGAGCCACTGCACAAATTGTTAATCTTCCACCTATCCGGATAGAGATATTGGGTATACAGTATCATCTAGACCACTTAAGCACCAACCTTTGTAAAAACTTTTTTTTGAATTAAATATAACATACAACACAGGATGATTACCAGCAGCATTAATGAAATTTCTATGTGTATAACTAATTTTTTTCATAGTTATCAACCAAATTCAATGATTGTTTAGCACCATAGCAAGCTATGATATAGTTTGATGAAAAAAACATTTTTGGTGATCAGAAATGTTTTTTTGACAGACTTAATTAATAACTCCAGCCTTTGATGAAAATCTTGTACTAATACCTCCATGGTGTACCATTGGAAAATATATGAGATTGACCTTGGTGGTGCAAACAGACATGAACTAGTGTGATGATATCGATGTAAAAAGACAAAAGTCTCAATTGGATAACTTTATGAGCTTATCTGCCAAAGTTGCTTGTTGCAGTTATTTTTTATTTTAACAGTGTTCACCTATGCTATGAACACATCTATAAACATTTGCTACTGTTGCTACTGTTATGCTAAATGAGCAAATTTTTTTAGTAAAAATTTACCAATTTGTGCTTTGGTAACTACAAGTTTGACTTGCCCTACAGAGAATGGTTTAGTTTTTTTTTTGTAAAAACTGTTTTTAGCTTTTATACTTAATATTATCCTTTGTCCTTCAGAGGTATTGTTTCCTTGCTACTTTTAGTTTTACTCTGAAAATACCAGGTGGTCATCTTCAGGTGGTCATCATTCAGGCCATCTGGTCATTGATCAAAGATGAAAGCTTAATTTTATTTTATACTTAATATACTTGATAATAACAATTTAAAATTTATACAAAATTTTTTTAGAGATTCATTGCTTAGTTTAGACATAATTAAATAACAAAAGCATCATTTATAAAGCTGTTATTTCATTCAACCCTATAGTTCCCTTTTTTTGCTTTTAACTCATTTTGAAAAAATTTTGTTATAGAAGGATATGTTTTAAGTTCAATGATAAAAAAATTTTATTTTCTAAGAACTTTATCCCCATTTTTCAGAAAAAGAAAAAAAATATTTTGGCGGCCAAAAATTTACTAACTTTATTAATCTATTATATCTTAAATAAGATAAAGATTCTGATACAATTTAATAAAAAAATATTTACAAAAAGTTTATTCAACAATCAGTTAAGAGTTAAAAAATAAACATAAATATATCATATCAATTTCATAATTAATACACTTAATCTCCTATTTTTTAATCCCATTTTAATTTATGTGTAGAAAAAATATACAAGAAAAATAAATACAAAATTCAAAAAACTAATTAAAATAATTAAATTTTTTTTTTTTTTTTTAAATATATCCTTACTCTTTGTAGATAAAGTTTCTGATATTATTTGAGAATCAAAGTTTTCTGGATAATTTGAAGAAATTCCTTTTGAAATGTGAACTTCATTTGTCTTGCTAGGTATTGATGTTTTTGTTCCACTATTAACTTTTAAGAAAAATGTGTGAAGTTTGTGAATACTTTTTTTAAAGTAACATTTTTTGTTAAATAAAAATAACTCATCATTTTCAAAATTTTGTACCCCAACAAGATTGTTTGTTAGCAAATTGTCCGCAATTCATCAAAGGTAATGTTCCGCCGTATACATACTAAAATAAAATCATGATATTAAAATACATAAAAAACTGTTCTGGTTAAAGTTAACATTTTTAAAATTAAAACTTCTAACTAGTGTGTGATATATATTTATCACTTAAACATTTAATAGATTCCTAATATTATCAAAAAGTTATTCCATCAACAAAGTCAACCTGGATCTCAAATGAAATCAAAAACTGAAATTCAAATTTCAAAAACAATTATTTTATAAAAATTGTTTTTATATTATTTTGTTTTTATAGATGTTTTTTTTGTCATTAGGTTTTTCTTTAGATTTACTAAATAAAAATTTTTTAAAGCTAAATTATTTTGTTTAGCAAACAAATTTTTATATAATTAAGCCATTTGAAAATTTTTTTTTTTTCCTTTATTTTAAAATGCATGCTTCAAGTGCTCTGGTTTCATGTTTTATTTTAGAACACTTTTTAGACAAAGAAAAAAGTAAAGATAATTTTTTTTTTCTTGACAAATTAAATGCCTTTAATAAGAGATTACCCAAAACGAAACTTAATTTTTTAAAATAAACAATTTTTTGAAAAAGGATGATATTAAAAAAAAACAGTTCAAATTTATTTGATTAATTTTATTTAGAAATCATTTTATATCAAAAGATATTTGTTAACATTTGTGGCTGTTTCTTAGCAAGGGAACAGCTTTAAAAAGTTTTAAATTTGAATAGTATTTTTTAAATCTAAATTTTTTATATTAAAAATTTTATTGTGCAACTTTTTATTGTTTATTCATCAATATTATTGTGAAAATGATCAATTTCAAAATTAGAGATTTCAAAATTAGAGAACTAACATTCATCAGCAATAACAAAAATATTGAGATAAATATCAGCAGTAATAGAGCAGGTTAAAATTCACCAGTCACTGCAAGCCCTAAATTATTATAAAAAGCTCTAAGTATCTCTATTATAAAAGGGAGATCACAATCAAGATCAGCAGTTCTAAGCAATCAAAAAGAGATGACTTTATAGTTATATCATTAACAAATAAAGTCACATTAAAGATAAAATTTCTGAAAAGGATATGAATACAGTTAAGGTACAATACTAACTAAAAATGGAGCATTGTGGTACCCAAGAAGTATTGGAACTAAAAGGTGTGTCCATCAAACACAATTTTAATACTGCAATTATAAAGAAATGATGAAATAAGAAGAAAACTGATTGGGTGATAGTTAGAGGTATAAGAGGATTCTCCAGAGTTTTTGAAAATCAGATTCACAGATACCATTTTTCAGTAAACAGAAAAATAAGATTCATTTATAAACTTCCAAGAATAGTTAAATAGTTTACAGAACATTAAAAAGTGTTCTGGAGATCATTTTTGTAAGACTTTGACAGGAATATTAAAAAGTGTTATGGAGATCACTTTTGTAGGACTTAGACAGGAATATTGTTGGAACCACAGAATATTGAAAAGTGTTCTGGAGAACACTTTTGTAAAACTTTGACAGGGAATACAAGCTGTATAAGATTTTAAGTGAGAATTAACTTTAGCAACCAAGCAAACATTTTATAGTGGAATTTCAGACACATATGGCATTCTATAGTGGAATTTCAGACACATATGGCATTCTATAGTGGAATTTCAGACACGTATGGCATTATGAGTGGTCCACTGTAGATTTGCTCATTGGTTACTTAGTGGACTATTAGTAGCAGTCGTTAAAAATGGCTAGCTGATAACTATATACTATTAACATGTTGGAAAGTTATCAGCTGGTTATTTATAGTGGCTGCCGCTAATGGTAAACTAAGTAACCGATGAGCAGCAAACTCCAATAAACCACTCAAAATGCCTATAAAGGTCCACAGCAAGTCCACTAAAATAATGTTTGCTGAGAATATAGTGGTTTGGATATGTCATTTGGATGTCTCAGTAATAAAGTAACAAAAGTTGTCTAACAATGACTCAGCTTGTTTCTCTAGGATGTTTGAAATGGATGTTTTGGATGAAAAGATTTGTGAGTTCTGTGAAAATTTAATTCAAAAACTTTATTTAAGAACCATTAAGTGCTAGATTCCTATTCCTAGGGTCCCTGATTATTCCTGCGTAACATCAAACAAAACCAAAATGCATAACATATAAAAAAAAACTAATGTACATTTCTGTACCTTTGAATGTAAATTTTAGTTACATAATAACATGTTACAAGCATATAAATTTAACCTCACTTTCAAAACAAATAATATTTAGTTTCTACATGCTAATAAACATTACTTTTATATTTATATTTTTTTAATTTATATTTTTTTCTACCGATGGGATTAGCTCAAACACACTACCTTTAGCCTCAACTGTTATAGCTGGAAAAAAACTGAAGTGATTTTCAGAATTAGCATGCAAAAATGTATATATAACATCAAAATTGGAAACAAATATGAACTTTCATAAAAATCTGTTACCTTGCTTAATTCAAGAAAAGAGCAGAAAATGCAATAGCATTGCTTTTCATCAATATAAAATTAATATTGAGATTGATGTTGTTTCTATTAATTGATAATGAGATTGATGTTATTTCTATTAATTGATATTTCTATTGATGTTATTTCTATTAATTGATATTTCTATTGATGTTATTTCTATTAATTGATATTGAGATTGATGTTATTTCTATTGATTGATATTGAGATTGATGTTATTTCTATTAATTGATATTTCTATTGATGTTATTTCTATTAATTGATATTTCTATTGATGTTATTTCTATTAATTGATATTGAGATTGATGTTATTTCTATTGATTGATATTTCTATTGATGTTATTTCTATTAATTGATATTTCTATTGATGTTATTTCTATTAATTGATATTGAGATTGATGTTATTTCTATTAATTAATATTTCTATTGATATTATTTCTATTAATTGATATTTCTATTGATGTTATTTCTATTAATTGATATTTCTATTGATGTTATTTCTATTAATTGATATTTCTATTGATGTTATTTCTATTAATTGATATTTCTATTGATGTTATTTCTATTAATTGATATTTCTATTGATGTTATTTCTATTAATTGATATTTCTATTGATATTATTTCTATTAATTGATATTTCTATTGATGTTATTTCTATTAATTGATATTTCTATTGATGTTATTTCTATTAATTGATATTTCTATTGATGTTATTTCTATTAATTGATATTTCTATTGATGTTATCCCAGCCGGCATTATTACGTTGTTTCAACGTTGAAATTCGGTTGAAGCGTTGTTTCAACGCTGTTTAACTATGTCACAACGTTAAATCAAAGTTACCGTTTAAACGTTGATTATTTAACGTTATTTCAACGACATTATTTCAATCATTGTTGACAAAAAATACGATATAAAATTTATGCGCGCGCAGAAATGGAAAACATTATTTCAACGGTTAAAGTTATAGAGATTTATAATGGAAAAAAAATGTAAATACTGAACTTATATCATATAGAATTTTCAAGAGATCGAAAACATGTTCAGACGATTTTCCTGAAAGAACATTATCGTTTAAAAATCGATATTTTTCGTTTAACTTGGGCTACAATGCTCAAAGACTGATATTATTAAATGTAAATATAATACAACTTTTTCAAAAAATGATCCATTAAATTATGTTGAATTTAATGCTAAGCGTTGTTTTTTAATAGAGCATCAAGAATTGAAAAAAGGAAATTGATAACTTTAAAAAAGAACTTCAGCACGAAATAAAAAAATAAAGATTTATTTGAAAAATTAACTTCAACCACATCAGTTATTACTATGAAAACAGACAAACTTGTATATAAACATAATCCAAACAAATTGTGTTATTGCAATTTACTTGTATACAAACATTTATTTTAAAAATAATAGATCATGCGACTTTTATACTGGCCTTACATCTGTCAATGTGTTTCATCAGTTAGTGCAGTATCACCATTAATCAAAAGAGATAAAGTGATATTAAAAAAACATTTACTTCTGTTTTTTGAAATTTAAAAAATTTTTTTTAACTACTTGGAATAAAATAAATGTAATGCAGCATAGATGAATTTTTAATGATGCTAATACTTGGATTATTGACAGCTGATTTTGCTGACAGGTTTAATATATTTTTAGGATTAGTGAATGCAATATTTTCTTCATTGTTGATAGCTTCTAGGTCACTTTTAAACCACATGGTTTTTGTTCCAAGTAAAGATGTTATAAGACAGGCAATGCAAAACAGATTTTAGAAATTAAATTATTCAGACTAACACAAAATTTCAGATATAACAGAATTTATTATGGAAACACCTTAATTTAAGGTGTTTTAAGGCTTAAAATTTTGACTTACAGAAACTAACAGGGAATGAATACAAACATTGCAACAATATAAAAACATTAGTACCTGTAGCTCCAAATTCATCAATAATTTCTTTAAAAAATTTCTAAAGCTTACAGAAGCTAAATTTTGGATATAAATTACATATCACAACAACTATTTAGATTGTATTACAAAATACTCTTGTATAATGTATGATTAAGGCTTTAATATTAATTTTTTAATACAAATGAAGTGATTTTAATTAAATCCATTTTTATCAGTCACTTTAAAAATATGATGAGTATTTGTATAAAGATAATTAAAATTTTAAACAATAATATTAGCTTTACTTGTTTGTTTTTTTTAGGTGAATCAATTGCAATTGATGGAATATCTTTAAAATGCTGAGGTAATCAAAATAATTTTTAATTATTTAGGAATTTTAAGGATTAAATTATTTAGCAAAAAAATTGTTTGATAATGAGTTCAGTTTAAATTAAAAAAAAAAATTAATATTAGTTCTCGCACAATTAATATCAGTTGTCTTATCTATCAAAATTTAGAATATTTTCCAACAATTTTGTGACCTCCATAAATATGAAAGGGAAAGGTGGAAATATGCTTTAAGAGCACTAATTTATATGGTGTAGTGAAAGGTATACCTTTATAAGAAATGTAAAACTTTTTTATTCTCATTTTTTATAT